GGCTTTCGTTTTGCAGCTTCTCAGGTAGTATGTTGCTATACCTCTTAGCCTCTTACACACCTATACAAGTTCAAAGCACGAATGAGACTTCAAGGCTGTGGCTTGCTGTGCGTGTGTAGAGGTTCTCAAGCGGTTGACGGAAAGGGAACTTGAAGTACTATACCTGGTAGCTGCACTATAGCTACCCTAGGTCTCTCTACCTTGCAAGGTGCCAACTACACCTTTCCATTCAGATGATGCAAATGATGCATTTGGCATTTCTTGCATCACCACCCCTCAAAAATCACCTCCAACACAACCTCAAAAAACCTTCCCTCGGAGCACCCTCCTCCCCCAGCATGTGCTGAGTTGACGTGTCCCTTTCTCGGGCCACCCCTCCAGACCCCCTAACTACTCACTTCGTTCGCCAGACACAACTCCGCTAGCGCCTTCTACGAAGGCTGGCTTTCGTAATATCATATTACAGGATCTGGTGGTATGCCACAGTTATCATACATACATCACCGTAATCAAACACAAGCAAGCATGACGCAGCAGGCAAGACAACTTTTTCAAACACCATCACCACAATCATCCAATCCAGACGGCGGAATTACAGCGTTGGTGTTTACGCGGAAGGAGCAAATTTGACTACCCCGGAGTCAGGAGCTCAACGCGAGGAGAGACGAGAGTTGTTTAACAACAGGCCGTCTCAAGCTCCTGGCAGGAGGAGAAGGGCCACAACCGCAATCACCCGGCTGTGGCCAAGGGAGAGAGGGCGGATGCGGGAGGGGACAATTAAGATGGTGACTGAAGCCTGAGTGAGCGGAAATGCATGCCAGTGAGATTCAGTGATGGAGTGTGCACCCAGCGCCTGCCAGGCCTAAACACACCTAGCATCACCGTAATCAAACACAAGCAAGCATGACGCAGCAGGCAAGACAACTTTTTCAAACACCATCACCACAATCATCCAATCCAGACGGCGGAATTACAGCGTTGGTGTTTACGCGGAAGGAGCAAATTTGACTACCCCAACGCCGGCTCAGATTCACTCCAACGCTGTAAGGAAAGACGAAATGGTGTGCAAGTCGGGCGCTAGCTGGTGCCAAATTGGCGCAAGCCGCAGAGGCGTCCAGGCACCCGTTTGGACGGCATGAGCGACAGCAGGGTCTGCCCACCCTAAGCGACTCAAGGGGTCGCTGAGGTTTTGTTGGGAGGGGACCCACTCAAACCAAGGGTTACATCGCAGGCGAGCAAATTGAAGGCCTGCCAGCAGGGACAAGTGACCAACGTCCGCAGCTGAGGAGGCAGATCGAATGATAGCTCGCCAGGCTGCTTGGTTGTCAAGGAACCACAGGACGTCACGATTTCTGAGAAGTTCTGGAGCAGATACTGCGAGCAAAGGAACGGCGAGTAGTTCAAGTAGGTTGATGTAAGTCTGGCGAGGTGCCCAGGTCACAACAACCTCTTTGGGAACATCAATGCTGTCAACCCAAATACGCTCATCACACAAGATCCAAATGCCTAGGCGGAAGCCGAGCGGAGTTGGCGCAGCAGTGGATGCGTCAGTGTAGACGATGACGGGTTCCGTGAGTCGGGGGTATACGGGCACACGGCGAGATGGTACGATCGAGAGGGCCAGCTGCAAGTACTGAAGGCAGAGTGCCAAGCTGGGAGTTAACGCATTGGTGTGGTCGAAGTACTGCCGGGCGATGAGGCCGGAGAAGGCAGCCGTAAGAGGTTTGCCCAAGAGCGACATTTCTAACCAATTGAGGAGGCCACGGGCCTTAGCGGCTTCAGCAGGTGTGACACGACCACTGGACAAGAATGCGGACAACATCCGCAGCGCTCGCTGTTTCGTTTCAGGACAAGATGTGAGGGTGACAACATGCTCGTCATTGAGACGGGAGAGGTCAGTGACCATTCCCAAAAAACGGGGCATGGAGGTCATATGTTGGCGCTTATGGTGTCCTATGAGAACGCCAAAAGTCTCCAAAATGCGGATGAACAGAGTCTTGTGAGCACCAGCGAGGTGGGCATACTCAAACTGTATAGAATCATCAAAATAATGTCCGGCAACCATCGAAAAAACACGACGACAAACAGCAGTGAAGAGTTGCGGGGCACGATTAAATTGATTGACGGCCGACGCAAGGCCGAATGGAAGACCCTATAACTGAGCATAGACACGTTTTTTGGAATGTGGATGAACAAAAGTGATGATGTTTACACACATATGATCTTTCAAGGGATGGTTTTGGCGGTAGCCCTTCCAAAGGTCTTCTGTGCCAGCCACAACCTCAAGCCAAGGCATATGTTGAGGTAAGTCGCTGGGGGAAGCTGCCGGGTGGTGAGACCGAAGAAACTGTAATGCATCCTGGTACCAAAACTTAACAACAGCTAGAGGGAAGTCAGGTCTTTGGTTGACAATTGCCTCGTGAAGCTGGGTGCACTCATTGTGCCTCCCGGTTCTACCATCGTCCACTGGGCGTTCTTTGTCATGCTGGTGAACTGTGTGGCGTTTCAAGGGGCGCCATTGACCGATACCATAGAGATTATCAAAAAAGGCTCGACTGTGGAACGACCCCAAAAGACCTAAATCTTGTTCTTTGGTACTTTCTTCGAGAATGATGGCAGCGGAGGGGTGAACACGAAGGTCAGATTCGAGCGCATCAACATAAGATATGGCATCATGTCCCAGAAGAGCTACCTCAGGTAAGGGCTCAGGAGACGTGGGCCTGAATATCCCAGACGGAGGGATGCTTCCAACAATCGGAAAACCCCGACACAAACACTCTGGCAAACCACGGTCAGGCCAGTCCAAAATACTGACCAGTGCGGCCGTCAGGGCGGGACGGAAACCGGGAACGTGGTGGACATGTCGAGCTGCTAACAACACATTATCTATGGGAAGCAAAGCTCGCCCCAGGGAGCGGAAAGCCGCGTAACTCTCATTGCGGACCCGCATGATATCCAACCCTGCGCAAACAGCCTCATGCACCGCGAACTGCAAGTCCTTTTCCAACAAAATTTCTTGTGCAAAAGGGCTAGACAAAGCGAGGGCTGCTTGCAAATGCTGCCTGGGAGGCAAAGACACGTCAATGAAGGGGTCGACCATAGAAGCACGGGATTGTTTCATAGAACGTGCAGGGTCGAAGTGTCGCAGGGCTTCCCAGTCAAGGCCAAAGGGGTTGTCAAGACCATGTTGGGCCGCCCAAACGTGGAAACGTTGGAAAGGTTCTAAGGGAACAGTCACAAAGGATTTCCATGCTGTAGCTATGACCTCATGAGGAATGTCCGACATAGGCAAAAGGGATAATACATCACGAAACCAAGTTTCCGAGGGCTTGTCAGCGCCAGGAGAAGGAGAAGCTGCAGGGACGACCTCACTGCTGGTCAGGCCAGCAGTGAGGAGTTGTCCCTAGCCCCGAGACTTCTTGTTGTGGTTGAGGGCGTGGTGTTGCCAGGCTCCGCAAAAACCTCCCTCAACTGGAAAGGAGCACCGATGGAGCTTCTTCTCACTGCATTCGGCTTGGCGACGAGTACACTGTCCCTTGTTCCACTTCTCGCACAGGTCCTTGGCGGAAATGGTCTTCCCTGTGGATGTGTCGACCTGAGAGGACCCAGCCCGGTCAACGCGGAGGCGTTTCGGCGCTGGGGGCTCAGGAGGCTTGGAGGACAAGGCGTCATCCACAGCACCAACGCCACTACCCCCGACCTGCCATAGGACTGCTGTCTTGGATTCATAGGCTGTTTTGAGAGCTTCACCCAAGGGCCATTCGTCTTGGTACAAGGTGATGGCGGCCAAGCGTGTTTGGCGATCTCGGTCGAGGAACCATTGGATGGCCTGCGTCACAGTTCCGGGGTAGCGCCGAAGGCGCTCTGCAGCAAAGGTGCGGTAGGCCAGGTTGTCGGACATGGAGAACTCCAAGACTTTGGTTCCCGGGAGTAACTTTGAGTCTCGCTCTGCTGTGCCAGCCATGGCCCAGCTGTTGAGGAGAATCTCATGAGCACGAAGCAAGCTGATGAGGTCTTTGAAGCTGACGGCCGGAGGCTCAGCCTTGAGGACCACACGAAAGTCCCCGAGTTGCTTTACCTCGGTAGCTGGTGCTGTCGAGGATTCAGCTGCACTTTTCACACGAGCCAAGTCATCGAGCTCTTTGTGTTGTCTGCGAAGTTCGCGAAAGTGCCGCGCAAACAAAGTGGCTGCAGGGAGAAGGTCAGGAGGAAACCTGACATTGTACTTGGCGAAGAAAGCATCTTCTTGGCGTTGCCGAACTTCTGGCGGAAGAGGGGCCTCGAGGTTCTCTTCTTGTGGGCCAGAGGAGGTGGCGCTCAAGTCTTGCTTGGCTCGGGCCCATGCCACGCGCAAGCGGGCAAGCTGGATTCGATTGTCCTTGAAGGTCTCAGTTTTCTGGAGAACTTCTTTCAGCCCGTCTTCATAGTCAGCCTCGGTGTACAGACCCACAAAGTCTGCTACGCTCTCACACCCCATGTGCTTGAGAGAGTGAAAGACTTCTGCGGCGACCTTGTGTTCATTGACGAGCAGGAGCTCGAAGCGCTCCACGCCAGAAGCCATGTCAGAGACGGAAAGCCACGATTTGAACGGAAACTGCGGGTGACAGGAGGCACAATATGCGTCACCGCCCGAAACCCGGAAAACAAATTTGAAAAAAAACATGTGCAAAACTTCAAAGCACTTGAAAACGTGAGCGCAGCGACCCGGTGTGTGCCTGTTTCTGCGCAAGCGGCTAGCCGGATCACGAGCGGGGCGTTGCCCGGGACAGGATGGCCAGCCGAGTTTCGGGGGCCACTTTGAGGAGACACGGCGCACAGAACTTTCCATGAAGGTCCAGCGCGGCCGTGAGCCCAGTGGCCCACACAATACCCTGTTGACGGAAAACACGACTGGAGCACAGCGGTGTGAGACTTTGAGGTTCTGCAGCAGCATGCCAGAGGCCTTTGGCCGGGCACACAAAGCAGACAGACTCCGGATCGGTAGGAGCATCACCGGCCGGGGCCAGCAGATACTCCGTAGAGGCATCACTGGAAGGGGAATCAGAGCCTCCAGAGGAAGATGCTCGCTCCGTGGACACCGGGCTGCTTTCAACAAGATCCGGCTCCGGGATGGCACGCACGCCAGGACCCCAAGAGGAGGTGGCGATGTTCGACCGCAAGCGAGCGACATGAGGGGCCACCGCACGGAGGCCAGACCATGAGTCGCAAAGCGGCGCGTGTTTAAGCAGATGGTGGACCGAGGCTAAGCACAGCCGCCGAACCTGCGCAGCAGACTCCAGTCGCTCCGAGCTGTACCGAACAGGAAGAGGCAGCTTGCGGCCATCGGACCAATTGCCCAAGCAGAGGCGATCAGAGTCGCAAAGCTGGAGGGCATCCGCAACGGTTGGAAGGAATCGACGAAAACTACGTGTGGAAAAAGTTGAAGCCGCGTGCTCAGTCAGCGACAGGGGTGGCAAATGCAACAGGGAGCGGGCGAAGGCCTGGAAGCGGGGATAATCCGCAGGCGCAGACCGGAGCACCACACTCCCCTGAGCATCAAACCACATGTCTGGTAAGAATGGTGTTCCGACGCCTAAGATAGCACGCACTCGTGCCTGCACATGGCTCAGTAGAGGATGTCCCGGTTCAACGTACATCGGCAGAGCGACAGCAAAAGGCATACCATCCTTTCCGTGAGAGACCTTCCAGACACCCGTGCGTATCGAAGAGAGCTCGGGCTCAAAACTCGCACGAGCGCAGTGTTTGAACCTCAGGCCAGAAACTGCGAAGCGAATGACCAAGCCAGCGGCCAGGGCAAGGGACGACGTAGAAGAGGATGTGGCCAACTGCAGCAAATGCCTCCAAACTTGAGCAGACAAAGTTTTCACTTGCGTAGGCCAGGTAGTGGTGGCACCGGAAGCGGCAGTAAAGTCTTTCAACATTGGCGAGTCCAGCGGGAAGGAGACTTTCAAGTTGTCAGTGAGCCATCGTAGGTGGTTGTACACTGAAGCTGGTACTGTGCGACCTCTGCGTCCCTGCGCCTGAAGGAACTGGTGGAGAAGGACATCACTGACTGGTCCCAGGGCGGCCTCGGTCTCAAGCTGCCACTGCACAAGCCGGTTCCAAGTCCGAAGGACAGCAGCGAGCGTTCCAGGCTGAAAGCGCGCGAGCAAGGATTCAGCAGTGGTGGCAATCCACACCTCGCGGGCTGTCCCGGAACGTTGAAGGTCTTCCATGGCAAAGCTCAGGCCTGGGTGGAGAACAGCCTCGACCAGAGCCACTGCAACATTCTGGTGCTTATACTGCCGCGTGCTGGATACGGTTGGCTGATGCGGTCCCGTTGGCTTGAGAAGGCCTCGTGCGGGAGCAGAAGCCGAAGAAGATATGTGGGGACATGGACCTGATGGAAGAAGCTGCTTCCAGGTGTGCATGCGAGGCTTGCAATGGAGGTGCCAAACTTTTTTGCGTAGTGATTCCAGAATCGGTTCAGGGACCTCAGTAGGCAGTTCGTCTTGTAACTCCTCCAGGGTCAAACCAGCAAGGTCACGGGCATCAAAGCCTTTGGCAGAGAGCACATCCAAAACTCGTTCTTCTGCCGGAGTGAAGATCATGGCCACTGCGATGAGATCAGGAAAGGACCTAGAGACAGACAATTAAGATGGTGACTGAAGCCTGAGTGAGCGGAAATGCATGCCAGTGAGATTCAGTGATGGAGTGTGCACCCAGCGCCTGCCAGGCCTAAACACACCTAGCATATACGTATGCATGGATATGTATACGTATTACTGTATGTATATATATATATATCATATTATATCATATATCATATATATAACTACCAAATATATAATATAATCCCCATCCACGCCCATGCACAGATGGTGGTGTGAGTTCCGAATTGGACAAGCTTATTGCACAGACTGGCAAAAGCTTCATACAGCAATTGCCAGCAACTAGCATCATCTTTCAATCCTGCATAAGACTGCTACGTTTGCAGCCCTTTTCAGACAAAGTCAGCTGACCACTCGTTTTCCCTCGCCTGCCACCAGCGTGCGTCTGGACATCGGATCTCGGCAAGTCCGGCCCAGGAAATGGAGCTTATTGAAAGGATACCCACGGGGTCATCAAAGGTTATGGAAATTGAGGTTCACTCAGGAAACCTGCTCTAGGATTAAGATGGATCAAGATACCCTTTCAATAGGTCGCCAAAAGAGGACTTACACATTGCTCATCAGTTCATCCTGCCCTCAACCCTGTGAAAAGATGGTGATCCATCTACAGGACCAACTTGGAAGCTAACCCAGGGAAAGAGCAAACAAATCATTTGGATTTCTCTACTTCCAAGGTTCCTATAGTGACTATCGTGGAGCAACATGATGGGACAACTGTATGTTCACGACATCTGTCCCCCATCACCCAATAAAGAAAAAAACCTTCACCCAGCAACGGTGCAACTTTGCCCATCGTCCATCTTCTTGCGGAGCCGGCCTCCAACGATCCGAACAAAAAGGGGCGCGCGGCAGAGCTTAGCGCGGCCCATGCTTTGCTGTCAGAGTGATGAGCGAGCCCGATGAGCGATCCCGATGAGCTGTGAAGGCTGATGATGTGTCTGTGATCGATCCATTCTTTACTGATCCCCCCAAAACTGCTTTGACCAATGCCAAAGCCGTGGGAGACATCGTATGAAATGTGAAGAGTTTGAAGGCACAGTATGTTCGTTCGACTGGTAAGCGTCTTCTAACCACACGTTCGAACATTTGGTGAAGCGGTCGCGCGTCTTCGGATTGAGTCGGTTGTTTAGTTTACCAACGCCTGCATCCTATCTTGCAAACGTGGCTTGCTTCTGCTTTTTGGCCAATTGACCACGTGATTACCTACTACTGTAAGTGGCATGTGTTTCATTGTGCCATGATCTTCATATTCCGCAAGGCGACAGAGGCTTCTCTTTGTGATTGCCCGCGTCCCACCAAATGCAGACATCCTTTGTTCAGCTGTTCTGGTTCTCACCAGAGTTCCACTACACGCATTGTCCCCTCTTTCAACTCGACAGCCAGGGCGGTTTCCCTCGCGTTTCGCCCCCCCGCGACCAGGCGACCGACCACCCGTCCTCGAGAGTCTTCGTACATGTTAATGGCCTCCACCTGCAAATGCCTGAGATGTGGGACTTGGGCGGTGCGGTGGAGATGTAAACACGAGTCACATGCATGCATGCAAAAGAGAACATGTCCTTTCTTGAACAAGCAATATTTGTAGCTGATGTGGTAGCAATAAACTTGTAACGCCTGCAATTTGTTTGCTAAGATACAACCTGTCGAAGCAGGCTCTGGGAACTATGATACCCTCCCTGAAACAATCCTGGAAGTGGAAAATCCCGTTAGTGGCGAAAACATGCTTTTAAGGGGGAATGTTGCACTTCCGTGTTTGTTGGAGGGAGGGTCATAACGAACACAATTGCTACCTTGGCCCAGGTCCAGCATTTTGGTTGGGATCATTCAAATTCAAACCATCCAACACCAAATCCTGTTTGTTTTGAATGGATGCCAAGGCATCATTCTGTGAGTCATTCTCCATATACCCCAAATGAGTGCCGTCCCTTTCCACCAATTCGGCTGCCCGACTCGTCGCATGCGAAATCCTGCCGGGGCGATGCGATCGACAGGATTCCATTCACTGGAAGGTGTTCAGATCTGATTCCAAAGTTCCAATGTCCGAAACCGATGAGTGATCTGATCAGATCAGTTGGATCCGTCAAGCTGACTTGATGCCTCATCCATCAACTCTCCTTCAGGTGCATGGACTATATGCTCATGAAAAATGCTCAAAGGACTCGCGAGGTGGCTCCAAAGGTCTGTTTTAACAAGTCCGCCCGCACCGGAGGTGCCGAGGGCGTTGTGTCAGCTCGTGTACATCCACATCGCAAGGAATCCGGCAAAAACAGGTAAATTGTGAAAGTGGATCAGTGCCAGGACTTGGACCGCACATTGGTGGGATTTTTGGACGAAGGGCCATACTGTACAGGAAACCCTGGCACCCTGCTTGACCCTTGAAAATGAAGAGATTCCTCTACAAGCGGCTACCAGCGATGTCCACCTACCATGATTGGTCGGGCAGGTTTTGACCCACAGCCTGCTGAGTGGATTCCCACGCTGCTTCAGCTGAAGTAATTGTAGCTTTGCAAGACTCATCTCGTCTCACCGGATGAAACTGGGATGAACAGTACACACACCATAAAACACCCATCTGCGCTTCAAAACCCAAGAAACCACCCCCGCACAGCAACCACCCACAGCCACCTCTGCCGATCGAGTGTCTCCCGCAAAAGCACTGCGCACCGCGCACCGTGCCGGTCGCCCGAATCGGGCCGCTGATTCTTCCGGTCCCGGGCATTCCACATGGGGATGGTGCAACGACCAAAGGCATCCACTTCTCTAGCCTTGGCGGTCGACGCAAGGTCTGCTGGGCGTGAGGTGAAGGGATGAAGTATTCATGAGGTCAGCCGGTCAGCCGACCTACATCGAAAAGAGCTCAACATCGAACATTTGAAAATCCCGCCTGCTTTGGAGATTGAACCCACAAATCCCAAACATTCTGATTATTGGTAGATGCTGCTAGGGACCCTCTGCCCAGAGTAGTGCAGTCTTCACCAACTTTGGAGTTGATGCTGTGATGCAGCGTCCAGAGATTTCAACCTCAGACCGAAGATATCCCAGTATGACAAGCTACAGTTTCGCCCCCCAAACCTAACAGCTATCTGTTCGAACAAACCTGAATGGCGGGTCAGAAAGAGGTGGGGAAAACGATTTCTTCTACTCTACAATGGCAAATTGGACACCCCCTTAACCTCCAAGGAGCAGTTGCTAGACACCCCTTAGAGGGCATTTAAACAGCTTCCATGTGACGTGTTGATACACAACCCGATGAGAGCTCAGCTTCCTGCAACAGGCGCCTCCGTAGCTGTCCCTGCACTGTCCGTGAGGTGACGATCGACTGGAGATGAGGATGGATCAAACATGCTCAAACGCGGGACAATCCCTCAGACGTATCAACAATGGGATGGATCAACAACTGAAATCAACAAATATATATATATATATTATACACAAATCGCTTGATCCTTACGCATTGATCCTTACCTTCGAACGTCAAGATGGAATGGCATTTACATGGTCACAACATGACTGTACATCTTTGGCATTCTTGAATGTTTCTACATTTCGGGCAATCGACCTTTGCCAAAGGCAGGTTTACAAATGTCCGTGCTTGTCTGGTCTTTCAAGAAGGTGCTGTACAACCATTTTGCACGTGTATGTGCTTCAAACGAAGTAGAGTAGCACGAATACTATCCATTTAAGAGGAACTCAGGCTATGACGTATCCATGACCTCCAATTTTGTGCTAAACATTCTCTTGACAACTTAGACTTTTTGTACTGCAGGAAATACTTTACGTGTCAGCATCTCTGATACCCGTTGACTTTCCCATCGACCACTCGGAGAGACTCTCAGACTCCTGAAGAGACCAACCTCTGCGTCGTGCAACCAGACAAAAGAAAAGCTCTATAGCAGAAGTGTTTAAACACTAAAACGCATACTACGTATAACCGGATGGTTTTGGTCTCGAAATGTGGCCGTGGCAAGCCACAAAAAAACCAGCGGATGCGGATGCGGATGGCGGCCAGGCCCCGAAAGGATGACGTTGTCCGGTCTGACCAAACAGGTGGCGCCATCCGCGTAGCGATGATGATCTCAGGGAGTGCATCCCGCTTTCGCATTTCTCCCCACAAACCAACTGGACTGGTCGACCAGCTGTCAAATGCCCAATAAAAAGGAAGAACAGAAGATTTGAGGACTGGGAAGAGCCCCCAAATCTTTTACTCGATGGACATTTGAGACGAAAAACAGCACACCACCAGATTTACAAGCTCTAGTAACAAGAAGCTACTGCTACGAACGGAGCAAGGACGCTACGAACGGAGCAAGGACGCTACGAACGTAGCTCCTGGCCTTACTACTAGTAACAAGAAGCTACGAACGTAGCAATGTGTTGGACGTCAGACGAGTCTGGACAGGTCTCGACGCTGTGCAGAAGCGACAACGCCCACTCGCTGACTTCGAGGCGCCCATGCCTGCGGCCTCTGGGCTCTGATCCAAGCTTAGCCTGGAGGGAAGCTGCGTTTACCAAGAAACCTCTACAGGTCTGAGAATGAAAACGTTCACATCAGACTGTTTGAAAGTTGACAGGACCCCTCTCCACATCTCCCTCCGGTTTATTTACTGTAGGGCAAATGGTCTGCGAGGTTGCACGGATGCGTTTATATTTATAGAATTGTATACAAATCTGCAAAAATCAAAGTGGTTGAGGGTCTTCTCCTGCCCTGCTGCAAACCCGCCAACACCAGGGGGCACTTTCAAGAAAGGGAACCAACCATTGATTTGCCTCATGTTAGACCAGCTGGTCCTCGGCTGAAAATAATCAACGGAAGTGGACACACCTTCATGTTTACACACCAAGTACCAGCTAACACACTTGGTCTGGTGAAGACAAACCGTCTCGTCCCCTACTCACTCACCAGGATGGGTTGGAAACGAAACTGGGTCCCCATCTATTCAGGGTAAAGCCAGCTCTTCGGAAAGAGTTGGCCTTTGGATTTCCAAATGATGGCTTTTCAAAAATGATTGACCAATCATGGTCTTGGCGGCCAAATTCTTGGCAAACCGAGCCAACTCTTCGGCGACCTGGCAGATCCTCAACCCACATCGCCGCGCCTCTCACCGTGGCGGATGATGGCCTCAGCATTCGGTGCCACTGCTGGTGCTGGTCGCGCGCGACCGGCGCTGTCCGGCTAGCTGCCCGGCTCGCAGAACCCGCTGGACGGTTGGACCTCCTTTTGTGTATCGCGCACGCTGAGAGAACGAACCAATGGCCTCACCTTTTGTAGTGTAAAAACCCTCAGTAAAACAGATGTTCGGTAAAAAAAAAACGATCATTTCTTTGGTGAAGCACAGGCGACTGGTCGGGTGTTTCGTCTTCCGGACTCTGTGGGATGTTCCATCACATGGCACTCAGCTGCAAAAATCAGCCGGACCAGGGTGACCCCTGGAGAGGGAAGATGTTCAGTCACAGGAAGACAGGGACCGTCAGCGACCCCTGCTTGGTTACTCACCTAATAAGTTATATAATGTTATATTAAGTATTTTAAGGTCCCGAGTTTTTCGGGGGGCCTCCGCGGCCTCCGCCACCCTTCAGACCCTGCGCAGCCCTGTAGACAACTGGTCTTAGCACCCGCCAACTTGGCGGGTTTTGGAGTCGCCCACGTTTCCATCCCGGGTGTCGACTCTGCCGGCTGTGCTCAGCGAAAACGTCTGGGGTGTCCTGCTCGTGAAGAACCTGGCACCAGTCTAGGAAGATTGATTTAACATATATAAACTAAATTAATAGCTTCTTGTTACTACTAGTAAGGCACTTGTTACTAGTAGCGTGGCACTTGTTACTAATAGCTTCTTGTTTCTAATAGCTTCTTGTTACTACTAGTAAGTCACTTGTTACTAGTAGCGTGGCACTTGTTACTAATAGCTTCTTGTTACTACTAGTAAGGCACCTGTTACTGCTAGCGTGGCACTTGTTTCTACTAGCTTCTTGTTTCTAATAGCTTCTTGTTACTACTAGTAAGGCACCTGTTACTGCTAGCGTGGCACTTGTTTCTACTAGCTTCTTGTTGTCGCTGAAGGCTTCTGCTGTCTATGAATCTGGTCGCGTGTTGGGTGGAATCATGGGTGCTACCTTAGCTGACGGCTTCAGAACTGCCGCGTGACCTGCTCAGCTCGGAGATGGACCTGAGGAACTAAGCGAGACATCCAGCTTCTTAAATCGGTGTGACAAAAGCAGTCTCTCCAAGCAGCTTCCATTCGACAACATGGCCTACAGCCCCAAACCTAGAGGACTTTCAAACAAATCAGCATCCAAAGTGCGGTGGCCCTATATCAGGTCTTTGTCTTCACCCCGGACAATGGCAATGCCAAAGGAAGAACAAATGCCGTCCAAACACCACTCACAGACCTGGAAATCATCAAAGAAATCTGAACCAACAGTCTAATACCAAGGAAAACCCACATGAAACACACGGCATCCATGGCTCTGTCATTGAGATGAAACATGATCAAACTAACATCGTTCTCATGACTCCTGGAGGCTCTGCGGAGGCCCAACAACCACCACTCATGTGGACATGGCCATTTCAAAAGAGCCCAAATGAAGACCTAGGGGCTCCTGGCCTTACTACTAGGAGCGTTCGGACGCTACGAACGGGGGCTCCTGGCATCGCTACTAGGAACCTTAGGCCTTAAGCGACTCGAATGGAGCGTCACCGGACGCTACGAGGGCTGTGCGGGGCTCTGTCCGAGCGAACGAGTGATTCGCGAGCCCAACGGCCTTCCACCGCCACGAGTGACAGTACATGAAGAACGAGCCTGGCGGCAGGACGGGATCGGTCCACCCACGACCCAACCGGGGTTCCGAAAAAAAGGGGGAACGACCAGGCCCAATCTAAGAGGTATGAATCGACCTGGGGGGCTGGACATGTAGAGGGATCTGCCTAAATAGACCTTAAAACCCACTTCATCCTAGGTCGAACATCGCCTAGGCACAGAGCAGCCTGACCCTCCGCCCTCATGCCCTCATGCCCCAACGAGTCTCTTAACACAAGGAAAGTGAGACGAAGAAGAACTACGAGTGTCCAGTTCACAAAAGCCTGTCCAACCATCATACAAGTCGCCGGAGGATGTTCGTCCCAAGAACTTCCTGCTTCCACTCGGCCACTCACTTTAGGCCACTCACTCTCGGCATCCGGGCAATCCCATAGGTGCACAGCACCATACCTCCGACCACTGTGGGGAGGCGACGTTTCCAGAACTTGAATTGTGATCTGTGACAGGAGATGCCTCTACAGAATTGCAATCTTACACATCAAAACCTCAAACAAAGATCAACGTGTCACAAACTATGATGCTGATTCTGAGGCAAAACGCTCACATGGCCGGTTAGTACGCTTTAGATCTATTTGGTCAGGTGTTTTCGCTTGCAAACTGGGTGACGAGAGACTTGAGACCGCTGGACCAAGAGATCAACCACCACTTGGTTGCCCAACAACCTCTTCAGTTGAACGACCTCTTCTGCAAAATGCGGCACGCAGAAATTTGTGTCCTCTAAAGACGATCATACAATATCATTAAGATGGTTGTTCGTTTTTCATACGTCCTGGACGCGAGTGTCCGATTCACCAGCTGTCCCGTCCGTCCATCGTTCACCACGGCCCCCAGTCCCTCGTTGGGTCTTCCCTGGGTCCACTGGCACGAAGGGCGCTCGGGAAGTCCTGACAATTCCTGTCGGTGTTGTTGGCGGAGGGCGTGTGGCGTTTTCCGTTTTCAACCTTTGTTTCTCCCTGGGCACTAAAGTGTCCGTAGGCCCGCGATGCGACAGCTTTCAAAATGTCCCTGCGAGAGCGATACACTTTTTGGTGTTGCCCTTCCGTGTTTTCATGCTCAGTCCGTTCGTCCGAAAAGTGATCCGTTCGATGTGTTTGTGTGTGTGTTTTTTCGCGCGCCATTGCTGTCTCGGACCTCCAACCCTCCGTTTTCAATACCTGCGTGGCGTCTTTTGTGAATTGAAAATGGTTGTCCAAAATGCCAAACTCACTTTGCCCAGATTTGCCAAGAAGACGTTTCAGCGATTGACACTACTCACATCATTCAAGCGGAACACCACATTGGCTCAGCGGGTAATCTGTAATTCGTAAAGAACCACGGGGCCAGGGTGAAAGCCGAGTCCGACCAACACAGGTGCATGGCCACATGCACGTCAAATTGAACAAAGTTTTTCGTGTTGAAGTGTTTTCTGTGGTTGTTCTGGGGATTTCTGTTCGATCAGGCCAGACCTACACATCAACACGCACAAGCTTCGGAGAGCTTCACTCGGCCTGGGGCGGAGAACTTCACCAGTGCGCCCCGGCTCGGTCCAAGACGGCGCAGGAAACGTCAATCAGCGAAGTGAAGTTCAAGGGTTTCTATATGGTTCTATCATCATCCATACCTTTAGTGGGGAGTGGACAACAAGGATTCCGGCCAACCAAGCACTCTGGCATAGATCTTTGAAAGCCTGCACCATAGACGGAATACTTCTCAAACAACGACTTTGGTAGCAGGCGGCAACTTCATCGGAGAACTAAAGAGTTTGAGGCGAGTCCGCCAAGCTGATCTCCCTGGGTGTGAGCCTTGCCTCAGCAGGTCTGAATCAGTCTGAGTGGCAGGAAGAGCAAACGCGATCCTAGCGCCCCTGCACCCTTCTCAACAAGTCGAGACTAATCAAAGACTTGGTCGCTCAGTCCAAGCCGCCGTTCAACCAATGCAGGATTTCACCAAGCACTAACTAAGCCTCACTCTAGTGGTTTCCTGCACACTGGCCTACAGAGAATGTCATCAACATAAATACCAGCCGCTGTTGAATCGCCAATGTCAGTAAGGTCCATTCGAATGACTGCAAAGTGCATAGAGCGATGCAAGTAGCATCTTGCGAAATGGTGCTATTGTCTTGCTGCGAGCATTAACGATGGTGCTAGGCGGGTGCGTTGCCAAGTACAAGCACCTACTAGCAACTGGGTGTGTGTCAGAATAATGAAGATGCACCCCCATGACATTACCGGTACCTGGTGGAAGGGAAAGCGTGTCAAAGCTGCAGTTGTCTGAGGGGCTGGAGGTCTTCGGATGGTGGAACCTGCTTTGATGCCCTCTTCCTGAACTGGTGGTCAAATGGGTCGAACTTCTCTGCTGCGGGCCTCTGTGGATTCGCTTCTCACAGAAGAACATCTCTTTCAGAACATGCAACGTTTCAAGTTTCAGTGGTTCTTCAGAATTCGCACTGAAGCATGCACAACTACGAGAGAATACGGTTTGAAGAATTCACACCCTCATCAAGAGATGTGTGGCATGATAAAGACGTGATGTGTGTGTATATATATATATATATCATATCAGATCAAATCATACACTGTATATATATACATATATGTGTGCAGTGGAAAGACTGGGACCAGAAGCATTCCATTTCATCTCCATACAACGTTCTCTCATCTCCATTGCTTTCCATGTCTTGCTCTTCTCTCCGGGCACACTCTCCAACTCCAACCTACTAGTTACTAGCGACGGCCTCCAACCTGGTAGCGATGGCCTCCAACCTAGAAGCAATGGCCTCCAAGCTACTTGCGGTGGCCTCCAACCTAATAGACATGGAAAATACGGGCCATCGCCAGTAGGTTGGAGGCCATTGCTTCTAAGTTGTCCAAATGAAGGTGTCCAAATTGGATGGTCAAACCCGGCCACCGGAACAGGTCTCATGCAGGTTTTGGACTCGATGTCTCAAGAAGAAGACTCGCTGAAAAAAGAAAACAGAAGGGGCCATGATCCGTCACTCTTCGGGAATGTAACACGTGCGCAGTCACCTGATTCGGCGAAAAGCATTTCATAGTCCTTACCATCTTCGCCACCGACGCTCCAGTCCGGAGCCTTCTGTGAAGCCCCGATGCTCGACCCCTCGATGTTCGTTCCGGGGCTGTCTTGCTTGCCACTCACATCAGTACAAATTGGAGGAGGCTTTCTCCTTGATTCTGATCTCTTCTGCGCTACCGGCCACAGAAATTCTCAGATTGTTTCTGCCCATAGAAAAGCTGTCCTCCATCAGGAGTTTTTCATGACACGAGTGGACACCAATTCCGGCAGCCGAACTATGCCACCGATGCGGTCTGACCTCTTTTTGGTCGTGGAGGATGGAACGCCGGCCAGTTGGGGGGCCTTAAGATGGTATATCTCCAACCTTCAAGTGATACCTCAACCTCAGTAGAACTAGAACCCAGCCTAAGCCAATTTGCTATGGTTGGGGGTATTGCAGAACTTGTTGATGGTGTGAACCCCCCTTCAAGCGCCTGGTCACCATGAAAAACTGTCCTGTCCTGGCGAGTATGGGAGGCGAACAAAAATCAGGTCCGCCAGCTAGCAGCTAGAATTGCTTGGAATCGGGAGACACCCTATTGGAATCTATATTTTATAGATCATCATATACAGTGGGTGATGTATTTTTCTTCCAGGCCTGTTGCAGGTGGTGGGACCTCACCCAAACTACACGTAAGTATATACCAGAATCTGTAGGGTCTATCCTATTCCCAGCAACAGTGGATGATTATGTTCCGGCTGCGGGCCTGAAAAACAAGTACAAACACGTACGTGATGTTCTTGTGGCCCCCAACTGTTGCAGGTAATGGGACAGACAGACCCACAAAACATACAAATATATACCAGAATCATCCAGAATCTGTTTGGAGAATCCGTGTCTTTGCCGCAACCGAACAGGACGACGAACGTTGGGGGGACGAGAGGCCACTGGTGAAACCAGGACGAGAGGGAAACATCCACCAGCAAACGGGTGATTCATTCAGCAAATTCTCCCAGTTCCCAATATATATATATATATTATATGGTCAGAATTCAGAATTCCAAAGGGACAGGGAATTCTTCAAACAAAACGTTGAGGTTGATGAGGAGTCCTGCGCCCATCAAACTTCCAACATGGGAAACTCCAGCCATTCTCCATCAGCCATTTCCAAGTAGTCCATGGGCGCTTCCACATCTCTCCAAAAGCTCTGAGAGCTGAGTCCATCATGGACTCTGTCTGTAGCATCATCCTGAAACGAGGTCTGTTATCAGCGTCAGAGCAGCCGCCGCAGGTGTTACCGACTGAAGACCCTGGCAACTACATTTACGACCTTTTATGATTGATGCACCACCTGAAATACATAACAGTCGTTGACCAATTATGACTCTATGACCTTTTTATGACCTTTTATCCTGAAATAGAGAACATCACATGATTGATGATACCGATACCCAGTGATATTTTGCTTCCACACAAACCACCTCGACCCACTCGTCGGGACGCTCAACCTGGACCACCAGGGCGTTATTGGAAGCCTGCTGATCAAACGTTCAGCCTCTCTGCGGACAACACGGCTCTGAACAGCATCTGCTTTCACGGAACACACGCGTTGAACAGCATCTCCGCGCATCTCAGGGTCGCCAGCGGCGCAGGAGGTCTTGCAGTCGCGACTCCAAGGCCTGGACCAGGGAGAGACAGCGGACAGCGAGTTGGACGATCGAGTTGGAGCTCCGGTTTTCATTGGTCTCAGTGGATCAAGGCTGTTTTGAGGATGTGATTAGCCATTGGTGGGCCCGTGAGTTTGAATGTCAATGTGGAGACCATTGCCACAGCCTTTCAGCAATCTGGTGTAGGTGTTCAAGACTGTTCAGCTTCAACATGCTAAATTACAGACTCAGGATGTTTCTGATCAACTCAATGCCTATTCCGAACATCCCAGGGAAAACTGTAAACTGCCTATTCCACAGGTTCCGCTGGCACAGCCCACACCCGTTGACGGCCGAACCGCGCGCACCATCCGGATCAAATCGGGGCCTGCGTCCGATCGGATCGCGGCCCTGGCACGAGACGAGGGGACGAGCTTCGACCGGTCAATCGCCAAACGACATCCGCCGCATCGATAGGGCTAAAACGTGATGAAACACCGAAGATCCAATAACAAAGCAGTGCAAGTGGACGAACTTCTCAACTGATGAGAAGTGGAAGACCTTTTTGTCACTTATTTAATATGAATGATCATCCCCAACATACTTGGCCATCTGACATGGAAACCTGGTTTGTACACGAGCATCTTTTCTTGTGAGGACGACCTTGCCTCCATCTCCACGACCGGACACCGCTGTTTTTCGTGGGCAACTCTGCTTTGACCAAAATCATTCCGAGAGGTACTTGGAGCCCTAGGGAGTGTCTTGATCCGTGCTGAGAGAGCAATGCCTTAGAGCTTTTGTCAAGCAACCCCATTGGTGCAAGTTATCTCCCCACCCTCTTGAGGATCCTGAATCGCTCTTCATCTGACCTCCTCTCGCGCTGGGCGCCAAGCCCTTGGGTGCCTGAAGCAAGGTGGCCCAGTCTTACATGATGGTCCGACTCAGTGTTGATATGTGCTGATCATGGGACTTAATTGCCGTGGATTCATCACTACCCAATCGGATTATCTTGCATCTTGCTGAACATGGGCAGTTGGTTGAATGATCATTCAACCTCCTTCATCAGTCCATTCAATAATGATCCATATCAAGATGAATCTGTTTCACCCCTCCTTGGGCATGGCTTTCCTTCCGCACCACGCAGAGATAGACACATGCGGTTGATAAAACCTGAAAAAAGTAAAAAGCAAACAGCAGTAAACGCCTTCTCCCTGCTGCCCTGCTTTTGCAATGCAGGGATGTTGGCTTCATTATGTGCCTTCCATACCCCAACCAATCCGACCGACCTGATTATCCCCGACATGGCTGGCAGTGGTCCAGCCCAACTGATGTAGGACCCTACAAATGTGATGGATTTCGTTGGATGATGCTGTAGAGCCTACTAACACACCAACTGAATGACTGAACACGATTTCCACCAGCAAATGGATCAACGTGCTGTTTCTGGTTTTTTCTCCGTGCTGCGCGGTCCTCATCTTCGCTCCGAAGGACTAGGACCTGCAGAGTTCCTGGACCGAGGCCTGACGCCTCCCCCCCTAGTGATGGACCGAGGCCTGACGCCTCTTGACCACGCGCTTGGACGGATGGACCGAAGCCTCGGACAGGCGGGACCGGTCCGGACTCCGCTGAGGTGTTCGGCGCCGGTCGAGGTCGCGAGCGGTCGAAGTCCAAGCTGGTCGGGGCAGCGTTGCGGACGAAGATGAGGTGAGGTATGGGTCGATGTGTGATGATGTGTGACAACCAGGGCCGGTTGGGAACAGCTGATGTCTCTGGTGCCCCTTGTTTCCGCCGTTCGGTCTGAAACCGATGTGGCGACCGGCCTGAGGATGTGGCGACCGGCGACCTGAGTGCCCACACCCATGCCTGGTTCGAGATTCCTTGCGCTTTGAGCCAGGCGTCCTTCGAGAAAGACCCCGTCTCAGTGATTTCACGATGAGAGAGGGCAGGATGTAATGATGCGTGGCTCAAAAATATTGAACATATAGGAACTTTGACACGTGTTACACGGTGTTACTGTGGCATAAGTATAAGTCGGTGCAGGTGAGTTTGTTGTCTGCGCTCTCTTTCTGAACTTCCCAGGGCGGAGCATCCCAGGTTGACCGGTTGACCTTCCCGCATTAGCACGTCATCCTCTTGGTACCCCGAACCTCAGCCCCCGAAGCTCTCAACAACTCCACCGAATAACTCTGTCTCCTCCAAGGATGTCTTCGGCTCCTTCAACCTTAGCCGCCGCCAAGGGTGCTACTAGGAGCAGGCACAAGGTCTGGCAGGAAATGAAATCGGAAAGGACATTGTATAAGATGGACATCCTCCTCATACTGACAAGAAGGATCACTCTTTGGTGGAGTGTCATATGGAGAAATCTTTGGAGCCATCGATGATGTCTCCCCTTGGTCAGAAATGGAGTGATGAAACCGGAGCTGGATCTCCGCACGGTTCCGTCACTGCGGGATGATCAGCGGATGTAGCGCCAATAGCACCGCCAATAGACAAATGATGGGTCACTTGGGTTCCATGATTCTCTGTTGGTGCAGGATGATTGTTCAACAATGACTCTCTGGTCAATCTTTAGAGCTTCTCACCAGCTAGTGTGCAGAAGCTCTATGCACTTACTACATGGGCAAGCCCTTGGGCCCTTGGGATTTTGGTGAAGTGTTGGGATTCTTGAATCCCCGATTTAGGAGACATATTCAACCAAACAGGGATCCAAGCCGTTACCAAAGAAATGGTTTGCCCTCGATCCGTCAGCCCAACAAGGACCTGGTCCAGCCGCAAAAAGTACATCCTCAGCAAAGAAAGATCAGTGAACATCGACTTGGACGGCAACAAGTCCCCACAAACCTGCATAAACCTTGCTCGCTTCGGAGGGTTTCAAAGTTTGGTTGCTTCTGGAGGCACTCTCTCAGGTTCCACATCAAGGGCTGATCAAGAAGCGGCTCCCAGAAAACCACCTGCTCTGGCACAGGAAATGTCATGAAGATCTCTTGGTTGCGCCACTCAAAGGTTGAGACCCCAAGGTACGGATCAAGAAGCTACGTCCCCCAAACTAAACCCTTCAAGACCTCTCATCCTCGTCCAAGAGGTCTTTCGTGCAAAGGCCCAAACTCTTCCAAATGTGTTTTCCACACAAGCTGGTTCTCGCAAACTGGTGGGTCTTGCTTGCAAATGTTTTGGTCCAGGAATAAATGTTGGACTTGTTTGTTATTTTTCTTTTGGTGCAGGTAAAGCTTGAAATGCAGATTTCTTGGTGAGCAGCGTTATGTGAAGCTCGGAATGCACTTTGGGAAGCATGGAGCGCTGAGCTTAACATCTAAGTCTTACGTCTGATGGCAAAAGCCTGGTAGCCCTTGACATCCAACCTCGGGTGGCTCACAGAAGATGTACTATGTTGGAATGGTCCCTTTCCTTCTTTAACTTTAAATTGTACCTTGGCAGCCTTGGCAGCGCTGTGTAAACCTCGCTGATCTAGGCATTCAAGTCTTTTGTGAGATTGCCAAAGCCTGGTGGCTCTTAGCATCCGCAGTTATGGGGAAGGCGGTGTATTCCAGCAGCTCTTGCACCTGGAAATCCCTGCCTTCTGATGCAGGCTTGCAGCCAAGCTTTTTGGTCGCCTTTTGGCTGGCCGTGTTGACCGCCGCATGGCTGAAGAATCATAGGTGGCAAGCCCTGACCACGAACATGTATTGTGCTTGCAAGACCAGCATCGCAACTGGAAAGATTGTTTGTTCTTCCTCTTGATAGGTGTGGCCTTCAGCTGCAATGGTCGGTTGTGAGCCGCGGAGTTAATGCGCTCCAGGGCAGTATTCAAAGCAATTTCGATCTCGGCAGTCTGGCTCTCCATTTGCATAGGTTCAACTAATGTCTGCTTTTTGGCTACTGGCTCTGCTGCTGCAGATGCTCTTGCTGCTGGGGCTTTGCTTAAGTTTGCTGCTGTGCTTCTGGCCCTCTTCGGGCGTAGCTCAGCCTCCTGGTGGCGGAGATCTGCTGCTTCGATGCTGGCTGCTGTTGCTGGAGGTTCAGCTGGGGCTGGCGCATAAGCACAGAAAAGCAGGAAAAAGCACAGAAGCAGGGAAAATCAACACACGCACAGAAAAGCAGGAAAAGCAAGAACAGCAGAGAAGGAGTGAGAAGCAGCGAAAAGCAAGACAAGCACAGGAAGACAAAAGTAGATTGTGTTTTAACAAATATAAATAACAAAAACAATAATTACCCCTCCAAATGTGTTTGACCCACAACTTCTTTTAATTACTGTTTTGGGCATGTTCTTCTTCAGCGAGAAACAGCTCGTGCAGCCGCTGCCAGGCAAGGAAGTTCGCCTGGCCCACTGCGCACTGCGCGCACGTGAACGACGTCGTGTCAACGGTCATCAACGGTGGGGAAGGTGCGAATTTCTCCTGGTAGCGTCCTTGTTCCTAGTAGCGAGGCCAGGAGCCCCGAGTAGCGTCCTTGCTCCTAGTAGCGATGCCCTTTGTTCCTAGTAGCGTCCTTGTTCCTGGTAGAGTGGTTTCCGGGTCCGGGACATCTTGCTCCGCGGTTCGTGTTTGTTGCTTTGGTGTCGGAGTAAACGAGCATGGTGGTAAACCACCACTCCCGGTTCGGATGGAGGGTAGGAGCACAGTTCATCTCTTGGGATTTGTGCCATCCAAATACATTAGTCCATCTTAAAACCAAACATGTGTGCCATCCATCCAAACACATTTGTGCCATCCAAACCCTCTTGGGATGGTCTGAAATGACCTTTATAGTCTGATAGTCATCTGCCCCAACCGGAACGACATTGCCTCCAGGCCAGGGCCCTCGAGCTTCAAGCAAGGCGTCTTCAAGTGCCTGCGCCCAACTCGATCCAACACACATCTATATTATCTACAGTCTATAGTAGATAGACTTTTATTGGAGGATATTGGAAGTAGGGGTACCGCATAGTTTTTACTGGTTTGCCATCCAAATCAATGGACTTTCTATATGATATATATATAATTATGTTGGTAGAAGAGGTGTCTATCTAATTGGTGATAAAGAAAAGTATAGAATCGGAGATATTCACAGCTATAGCATGTTAAATGTCAGATGATGTCAGGTGGCACCACCACTCCCATTCTCCAGTGGAGTGTGACCAGCCTCAAATGCTTAGTACTCGAATGGCTCACCTAGTCTGGTCCAGAATCTGTGGTCGAACCATGGAGACCATTCCAACGATTATTCTCAGTAACATGTTTGAAGTGAGGCGATCTCATCCGTTCTTCAACCCAAAACACCAACATCTCCGACCCGACATCCTCCTGACGTGGTGACTCAAGGGCCTCACCACCGTGCTTCTCAGTGGCTAGATTCAAACCCACGTTTGGCTATCAAGGGGACTAGCGATGGCGTCCAACCTAGTAGCGATGGCCTCCCCCTAGTAGCGTCCTTGTTACTAATAGTAATGGCCTCCAACCTACTAGCGATGGCCTCCAACCTAGTAGCTTCGTGTTACTAGGATACTTGTGAAGTGAAACACCCCAGCCGTAGACAGTCTTCATGTCAAACATACGTAGAAAAGCACGCCTGCATGGCAGGAGGGCAAAGAACCTGAAGCCACAGCAAACAGCGAGCGGAGCAAACAGCGAGCCAGGCGGTACGCTGAACGAAGAATTTCTCACCTCTTGCGTCAAGTTGCAAGAAACAGGTGCATCTTCTGGCTTGACAAAGCGAAATACATGTATATACTCTTTCTGTGCATGTCATACGATGGGAATTGCCACTGCAGGTCTGTCGAACATGTCTGTCGAACGGATGTGTCGGCTGCGAGTCACCCTCCCCCTCAAAAAGGTGCTTCGCTGCCATCCTCCCCCTGCGAGACTGTTCGTCTTTGCAAACCCCATTTCTCACCCATTCCTCACCAAGAGTTCTCATGCAAAGCCATCACCAAGAGCTCTCCCACCACACTCACCCTGGCCTGTGCCCACCACCCCCACACTCACCGGTCGCCTGAGCTCTAAGTGAGCCACATCGGCCTCACAGGGGACCCCGTCCGTCCGGCACCGGGCTTCGCACCGGGCTTCGCAGGGTCAGCACGCTTCGCACTTCGAAGCGCAGGTTCGGTGGAAGGATGGGAGTGGTGACCTCTGCCCTGTCAGCAAGGCCAAATGAAGAAAGGGACGAAGTTAAGAGATGGGCAGAAAGGTACAGTTTTTGTGTTTTTCTGGCGTTTTTTTGTCTTGTGTCCGATTCCTTGCTTTCCACATGGAAGAAACCGCTTGAATGGACGGGGTGGCTCCCCATTATATCTGGGATGTGCTTGCATGCGGTGGAAGACTACATGGTGTGTTACTCGAAATCTTGAAAAGGTTGAACGTGATCTTTCAGGAAACGAACTCGAGATCCCTTCTTCTCAGGTTATTTGGAGCTCCCGGGAAGATCTGAGGTGAATTCCCTTGTTCCAAATGAAGTGAGAAAAAGATCTCCAAAACGAAGAAGGTCTTACTCTGGCGCGGGGTGAACTTCACCACAGCCCGTCTGAACCCATGCAAAAGAAAGGCAGCTCAGCAACGGCAAGCAAGGATTTCTCAAAAGTTGCAATGGCAGTTGCATGAGCTCCTTTTGCATCCTTCAAATCCCCGTGCTGAGCCGAGATTTGGGGATCCTAAGGATTTCAATGGAACCAACTGAATCAAGGATTCAACGGAACCTTGTATAATAACATCCCAAGACTTTCAAGGATTCCCAAGACTTACAACATCCATCTATATATAACGTGTTTGTTGCGTGTAGCTGCTACCACTCTGCACATCCGAAAACAACCAGGTGGCTTGGTCAGGGACCCTCCATGTTCTTTTGAAACCACTCATTTTACCAAGAACGAGCACTAAACCGCCATTTTACAATGCTGTTCACCTTCTGTTGTCTCCTTTCTTCCAGGTGTTACAAAAAAACACACGGATCGCCTGTGCCAGAGCATGCCGGAGGCACTGGAAGACCTGCGTACCAGACTTCGCCCCATCTTCCGCCCGAGAAGGCTGCCAGGTCCCGAGAAGGCGCGCGGGGGCCACGAGTGGCCGGGGCAGATGGGCCACTCACCGGGCACGGTCAACCCTGACCTTTTTACTGAGAAAAACGAACTCAAGGTAGGCATATTCTCAGAATGCGTTTTCTGCATCTTCAACCCTTTTTCAGAATGAGGGGAGGAGGGAACGGTGACTGGTACAAGGTGGAATCCCTCTGTAGAATGCAGCGGATGGTGATATTGCTCAAATATCAGCTCGCCGGCGCAACGCACAAATGCGACACCAGGCAGTCACACCACCCTGACGTTGAGTCCGATTGAGGGTGTTGATCAACACCTAATCCATCCGAATCCCAGGCTTCAGATTCAAAACATATGGGACTGGGTCAAACGGTCAAACCCCGGATCCCCGAACCAGGGCAGCTTGACCTCCGTAGTAGTCCATTCTCTTCATTTTCTCTGGTCAACGGATCAACAAGTGAATCACCTTCGGCTTAAGCAAGTTGGAAAAAAAAAAAACAATTGGTCAACCTAGGTACCCCGGTTTTGACCCACACCCATATCGAAAACACTCCCTCACGGGCGCCCGCCTTGGCGCTCGCTCCGTCACCACTTGTGGCGGGTGCCTCACAAGGCACTAGTGACTAGAGGGATCAAAGAAAGGGATCTACATACCGGCCCCCCCCAACACACGTGATCGGCAACCTAACACAGGTGAGAACCTCTATTAAGTTTAAGAAGTCCCTTGATAAAATTACACAAATGCCCTTTAAACGTCAATATTGAGATAGAGATAATCTCTACTGATCTCCTGAGAGGAGATTTATGGGTCTGTTTGGAGGTTTGGCAATAGGTCGTTTCTTTGTTCGAAGTTCCCCACCGGTCACACCGCTTCGCTTCTCGCACCAATGCGGGCCCACGAGATGACGAGATGCGCCTGGTCGCAAAAGGCGCACGTGACTAAAGGACATTGGATCCCACCAAGATCTTCCTGTTGATTTTGGTGACACTCCGAGGAACACATTAAGTATACCTGATATTGCATGTATGACTGGAAAAAAAAACATGGTCACAGAAGACCCAGCAACCTTGCCAGAGGCCCTTTTCCACCATGTGAGTGAATTAGAGTGTATCCATGTCAAGGGAATTCCGTCTATGAATCATGGCCCAAGTTGTTCCCTTCTCCAGCCTCATGGCAGATGCTCTGCAGGGCCTGTCAGCTGCCAGGAGGTTGATTCAGTGTCAAGTGATGAGGGTGTTTGGATCTCTGTCGAACTGGCTGTACTCATTTCTCTTCAAGTTGGATGAGCCCGCAATGGCCCGCATCAGACTTCTGCTTTTTTCCACCCTGAGAATCCGAACGGGCCCGACCTCTTGGCAGCGGTCGGACCCGACACCCGAACCGTTCACCCCATTGGAGAATGGCCCAGAGTCTCATTGCACGTTCTACAAAGTGATGCTCGTCTTTCTTCATGCAATTCATCTTCCACCTGAATCTTCGTGCGAACTCAGGACCCGTGAGAGCTTCTTCCTCCACCGGACCGAGAGCGGATCAGTCATGAGGACAGAGCCTCGATCTGGCCGTTCATCCACAGCCATTCCAAATCCTTCTCTCAGAACACAATCCATGATACTCTTTTCTCTACATTCCTGCCAGTCAAAAAAACCCATCCAATCTAGACAGGGTTGTTCTTTTAACAGAGGCAAAGACTCTTACCCCAGTCTTGAACCCATGCAATTGGACAAGAACCACCACTGTCCCGACTACTTTTGGACCGCACCACTGCAAAGCAACAAAAAAGACGCTTCACATTCAGAAACGAGAGTCTCTCACCACTACTGCGGTGCCTTGAAGCGTTCTTTTGCAAGGAGCAAGTCCTGAGAAGGCCCAAGTACTGGGCATCGCCGCGGGCGTCGCGCCCTCGCCGTCCAACGTTGCGGCCCAAACGTTCGACTGGATGAGATGATTAGAGTGCCGTTCTGTCCGAAGAGTGATAGAAGGAGAAATCCTGCCACCACCTCGATTTCTAAAGCGTGACACGTATTTCTAAAGTCAGAGCTGTCGTCTGTCACCGGTTGCTGAAAAAATGCAATTATTCCTTCAACAGTCGGTGAGTCCTCAGCTTAAGTCCAATGCTCCTAAATCTCAGGCACCTCCAGTTCAATTGGACTTTTTCTGACCGGACGGCAGCCATGGTGATCCAAATTGATGACCTTCTGCACCCCCCCAACCAAGATTCTGTTGTCCTGAACCTGGTCCAAGTTGGTGGTCGGAGAATAGCCATAGAATATATAATAATCGTTTACAGAAGATGCTGAACGAAAAACGAGTACTCAGCAGCCCTATCCACACCAGTCTATGTGTGATGACATCTACTGTAAACATCTTCAAACAGCCCTTGAGAGTGGCAGCATGAGTCATTAATGTTCTCGACCAAAAGTAGTTGTAAATATATTACAAATACTATTACATATATACAATATGTAGCTTCATTGGTCCACCTGGAAGGAGTCACAATCTCTGAGTGGAAGAGAACCTTACTTTCTTATCCAGAAAAGCTGCCGGGCAGTCACAAGGACGCTCTGCCAGTAGCCTAGAGCCCCATCGCTACGAACGTCACCAACGATGCTCTCCGGCGCCATGCTCCGCTCCTTGCAGTAGCCCGTCATGATGCGGATCCTCGGCGCTGCGGCGACAGTGAGCCGAAGATCTTTGGAGCGACGTCGCACTCGTGCTTTTGGGGATCCTCGTTGCTTTTCGAAAACCCGTGCTGCTACGAGCAGCTACGAGCAGCTACGAGCTTCCCAAGCAAAAAAAAATCAAAAGAAGTCGTGACGGTATGGCAAAAGCACTTGCAGAATTCATATTCACTTCCCATGTTCTCCAACCAGGAGAAACATCGAGTCAGGGCTTTGCTGCTTGATCATCAAGAATCAGTATCTTCCATGCCGAGTCCAAAACCAAAACTAAGAGATTCGGTTTGATTCAGAAGGTTGTTGGCGGATCAAATCAAGATACTGTGCAGAAGATGTAGATTCTGTTTTAGCTCTTTGGCTCGGTTTGATTCCTTCTCCAAATACTGTGCAGCCTGGATAAACCCCTTTGGCCCTCCGCATCGAAAACACTGAAAACCACTCCGACAGACCCAGCGGCGGGCCAAACCGCACCACGGCTCGGTAGCGCAGCTGACCCTGCACACCGACGGCGTTGACCCTGGGGGTTTCATGGGGAGGGAAAGATGTAGGGCCTGGGGCAAGGTGATTCTGGATCGAAAACCGTGGGTTTGACGTCCTTTCCTGAAGGCTCTTCGACCGTTTGGGGTGAGGAGAGAACGAGGTGATCAAACCCTTAAGTAGGCTGCTTCAAAGTAGCCAGGGTCTAGGCAAAACCGAACAACCCTTGAACCATGGTAAAGTTTGGATGTGTCCCTGGATGTGTCAATTCGCCACAAGTGCTTTTCCAGTTACCTGGTCTGCCCCCCATACTTGCGAATCCAGCTTCACCCAAATACACAACTTGAAGACAGTCCACAAACGGTTGACCAAATGCTGCACTCCTTGTCTACCAAAAAACACAGATTTGATCTTTAAGGCCACATCATGTGGCAATGGCATAGTCCACAAGCTGTTACAAAGTGGGCTTTCTTGAACAGCTTCTAACCACTGGCTTTGGTGCACCACAAGCTGTTCGGCAGTCGGCAGTCGCCGCCCTCACACCCCTCAAGAGTCGACTGGACTCCCGAGCCGATGTTTGGGTGGGAACATTCAGGTTGAACGCTTCGTTTTGGGTGGGAATGGTTTCCCCAAGTGCCCACAAGAGCAAAGAAGATGAAGCAGGTTACAGTGGCTGGGTTGGGAGCCATCATGGCATCCCCAAGTTTTGTGATGGACCCCCATCTAAACAAACATTTGGGGTGCCAGTGCCATCGAATTATTCCTTTAGAAACAAACATGTAAGGCACATTCTTAATTACCGGAAAGAACCCCAAACATGTGACCACACTGTTTGGGGGAGAAAAAAACACATGTTCAAAAACAATCACTTGTTCCACAGGTTTGAGGAACACACCCTACATAGTATACACTTGATAGCGCAGGGGTAGGACATACATGGACGGATACCACGTTCAACGCCCCGCGGATACCGATGGAACCGACTCCCTCGTGGCTGACGAATCAGACCTGCCGTGCGTGGCTCTCGATGCCCTGCACACGGGAGAGAGACCTGCGGCTGCGGCTGCCACGGGCAGGGCGACCCGGCTGGGGTGTGGAATTCATGGTGTTTGGTCAAACGGTCAAACAGGGGACACGGAAAAAAAATGATTCTCTTCTTTGGTGTTCATTTATGGCGTTCATAAAGTAATCAGATTACATAAAGGTGGACAGTGGGATTCACAGCCAGTCTGAATCTGAGAGGTGAACCACCTACGGCAACAAAGCAAACACCATCTGGAAACAATGGTCCCTTATTTTTTTGGTGATTACAGTGTGCAACCCAAATGGCAATCCTTGAGGAGATCATTGCCCATTCCAAGCAAGACATCTTGAATGTCTTGACTCTACAATGATGCTGTCCTAGTACAAATCATACCAGTCTGGGTTCCCACTTCTATCAAGGCTGAACCTTCTGTAAGCTGGTGCAAGAGAAGCTGGTGCAGCTGGGACTTGTTGCCCAGTCACCAGTCGTTCCCCGATCACCTACCGCCGCCCATCACTCCACTCGCTGCATTCCTTCCGTTCCTTCCGTTCCTGTGCTCCTCGTCCTACATCCTGCAGCACCATGGTGTCACATGGAAATGCGACGGTCATGCGACGGTCTGAGACAAACTTACATGGCCCGTTCTTGGACCGTTCGTACCCCTCGACACCGTGTCCAAACAATATGAATTACAATTCCCAGACGCGCCATGTATGGAGTGTCTGGGAATGAATCAAGTCACTACTTAATCTCAACAGTCCAGTAATTAGCCCAGCTCCTTTGTTTCGTTTCAGCTTCCAATAGCTACCATGCCCCAAGCAGCTGACTGCACCCGTACGCCACGCGAACTGCAAGCTGCACGGAACGGCGCCCGTTGGCCGGCGCGAGCCCGCCCCGGGGGGGCCTGGGGTGGACGAAGCCAGACCTGCACAGATGTGGGGTCGAGGGGGTCCACCGACCCCGAAACCACGGAGGTACACTCCTCCGGAGTCCTTTGGGATCGATCAAAGAAGATCAAAGGAGTGAATAGATTGGTCAAATATGAGAGTGACCTAGAGCCCAGAAATGAATTATGTTTCTGACAGGGACAGATAGAACAATGCTGAAGATATAGAAGCCACATGTTGCAGAGTTGCTTCTAAAAAGGAGGGGCTCATGTCTGGGCGAAAGAGATGGAATGGATTCTCCCCAAGAGGTCGCACAAGTAACAAAAAAAACTATACTGACACAGGGCTCCCATGTCAATCTTGGATGATTCCAAGGTTCAGATGTATTGATAATGACATAGTACTATGATATAATCTTAAACTTGTCTATACTGACACTGACAGTATTGTAATAAAAGCTGATACTGATGACTGATGAATTGCACAAGGACTTCAAGGAGATTGATGACTATATTGACTTTAGTGATTACAATGTTAGTCATCCAAACTATGACAAAAAATGTTGGGCAAGTTAAAGGATGAACTCAACGGCAAAATACTAGCACATTTCATCGGGCTAAAGCCGAAGTCCTACTGCTATAAGGTTTATGGTGAAGACAAAGAGCATAAAAAGAGCAAAGGAGTAGTAAAACATCAAGTTCATAACCAATTAAGTTATGAAAAGCATGAAGAGACATTGAACAAACAACTGAATGAAACAGTGCCACTCAACAGCATCACAAGCATGACCATCAAATCTACAGCATCAATCAAACCAAGTACGCCCTTAGCCCCTTCGACAACAAAAGATTTTGGCACAGAACTGGAGAGTTTGCCTTACGGGCATTACCTTATAGATGATTTCAAGGTATGATGGCTTGAGACATATAATCTAATCATACCAACAGACATTCAGAATGGATACGTTTGCAAGATTGTGAGCTCATCTTGTAGGTTCTACCTGTTAAGCTTTTGAGGCAAAGAATCTCAAAGGCACTGGCGTAATCAATACAACTCACACGAGAAATGTATACAGTATATCAAAGGTGAATGAATGACAAAGCTTTGACACAAAACCGTTTCAGTAACAGTTGTCCAAAACATAAAACCTCGTGCAGACATGGATGCGAGTAAAAATGTTCAGAATGAACATGACAAACCAATTGTCCAAGAGTTGCAGGCTAATATTAGAAAGATTGACTTCAAAAACTCAAGCCCCAATTGTCATGGAAGTTGTCTTGTGCAAAGTCTCTACACAAGAATGTTTCAGGAATGAAGTCCAAACAACAATCCAACCAACAAATATGTGAGGCAAATACTAATACTAGCAGTTAAGCAAACAAAAACGTGATGCCTCACTCTAGAAACTGGTGTGCAGCAAGCTTCAAAGTGTTGCAAGGATATACAAAAAAAGTTCACACCCTTTCGGTTCGGGCCTTGGCAATCCAACATATTCAAGGTCCAGTTGTTGCAATGTTTATCTATCTACTTGAGACTAGCTATAATATTCACCTTATCTCCGAATAATTCAACATCAAATGAAACTACATGCGGAGTACATACTCCATCGCACTGCCTTCGCCGTTCCTTCACGGGCCCCTCTCCCACCTGGGCCCTGTCTTTGGCCTCGACCAAGGAAGATGCAAGAAGGTCCCAGTGGAGTTGGAATTTGAGGAGGTTCTACTGGGAGGCACTTTTAGAAAACCAGCTTCGCCAACGAAACGTGGGGCATTTCAAGGAGGATTGATGGAGCAAAGAGAGCGAGAGCGCCACACCTGGTCTCTGTTAAGATAGTGGCGAACATTAAACATATTCAAGAGTCAATCGTCATCTTGACATGAACACATGTGCACAAAGCATTGCTTCTTGAACAAGGTGGTCCTACAGTCGATCATTCTAAAATATTCTAATAATTCTAAATTCTAAACGTCTTCGACCTCTACATCGAACGCCCTTTCCTCTCGCAACTCACCCATCTGCTCTTCCGAAAACAGTTCCGATGCCTCTTCCGACGCCGCACCTGACTACACCGACGTGGCTCGTGGCAAGTCGGGAGTGGGTGTGATAAAAGCTGTTTTTGGTCCGTCTCCGTTCACAGAAGCATCAGCACAGCGAGCATTGTGTGTGTTTTCCTATGATAGCACTTCCATCCACCCAAAGATGAGCCAATTCACAATCTACCCACATCTTTGATCATCTTAACACCGTTGGAATTGGGCTTCTGCTCAATATATTCCACTCTTGACCCCAAAAAAGGGAGACCTAGCCTGGTGCTTTCACCATTCTGAGGCAAACCACATTGAAATCAACACCTCCGGGATCCTTCGGGGTATCGCTGGACGCCTTCGAAAGTTTTGTTTATTGCAGTTGGCCACTCCAGCTACTAGCTCCTCAGGAAAAAATACATGAGGGCCCCGAGTCATATATAAGCAAATCTACAGAAATCACCACAAATCCATGTCGAACCACTGACTCAACAGGGATGCTGTCCATTGGAAAATCACATGATCAACGCTTAGGGTTTAGGGTTTAGGATAGTTTAGGGTTTAGGCTCCGCCTCAGCCCCTCCCAGCCTCTGGATGTGCCAAGATCCACCGCTCCAGGGCCCGTCGTTGTGGCTCAGACAAGTGTCGCCTCAGCGGCTCAACGACACTAAGCTACTATTGGTTCTAGTCTTGCTCGTTCTTCTGGGGCTTTAGCACGATCTTTAGAGTAAGGCTGCTTTGATTTCAAGATATCAACGTTGAACTGCGAAGATGATACAGTACATGTTGGGTCACATCAGAACGCTGTCACAGCCCCCAAAAGTGCGGTTTCACCCCTTGTTTTACTTCCACAATCCGAAAGACCTCCACCCGACCCGACCTTAGCACCACCCAACACCTCACCACGTCCAGTGACAGGAGCCGCTGCCGCTCCGCTGGCACGGCGCGCTTCAGCAAGCACCACACCCGGCGCTCCAGGCCTCCCCGGCTCCGGGAGGGCCGGGCGCCCACCTGGAGTCCAGGAAACATCCGGCTTCAAGGTCGAAGGCTGTTCTCCAAGGTCTAAGGTGTTTGGGTTCGGATTTAGAGGGTCTACCTCCTGAAGCGCGGGATGGATCAATCGCTTAGCATCGTTTGGGATCCACCAACCCCCTGCACCACCTGCAATCCCGAAAGTTCCCCCAGACGAGGCAATAGTCATGGGTTTACTTATGCGCATGAAATGCCTTCTCTCATATACAAAAATTTGTTAAAAGCATACAAATCAACATGTACACAAACACCTGGTGTCTGATCTGTTCGGTTAAGGGTTGCCTTGGCGTATGAGGATGCAATGTGTACTCGCAAAGGTATCTCACGGTGAACACAATGAAAGAAAGCGTCCTGCAATAGCACATGTCAGCACATGTCATTTTCTGGAATGAACACCATAGCTGTTTACTTGTTCTTTTGCCAATTGACGAGACAAGGAAGGTTGAACCCAGCATAAATCTCAGTTTTGCTTGCCGTGGTCTTCAATTTGTGTGTTCTCTAACATTGAAAAGGCCATCCATTCTTGACGGGTCCAAGCGTTGCAGAAATTCCGAGAAATCATGCCACCATTGAGAATGGGGACAACCAAAAACCCACACTTTCTTAAGGGAAACACATGGTGTGTGATTCGTGGTCAAGTTTTTGCCGTTGCCCGAAAACAAAAGGTGAGCCATCGTACAATTGTTACCTTGAACCAAAGCAGCGTTTGCCCTGCAACATATCCCAGCTGAGTCTTTCACATGGGATGGCAGCGCTGCTCCACAAGAAGCAGGGGCCTTGAAATCATGAGGCTTCTCTTTGAGTCTTGTAGTGATTGGGATTGAGACGTGATGCGCCATTGGATAAGTGGTTCATCGAAACCATATCCGTTTGCAGGTGCTCGGTGGTCGGGAGTGACGATCGCAACTTGTTGAGTGACGATCGCACCTTCGTAACTTAGCTCTCCCAGTTGGCTGAAGCCGTTAAAGGTCAGCTCAAGCCTTGAGCCCGTTTCAAACGTGCCCGAACATGAAACATGCTGATCAGCAGCGTAGAAATCCAAAAGAGAGCGAAGGGTTCAACATGCACATCTTCACAAAATGGAGGTCCCACGAATTTAATGATCCTCAGAGTGGACATAAGTGCACAAATTGATTAAGTATCCAAGAAGCGCAAGGGGGATTGGCGGCTTGTATGCATTCCGAAGCGAACCCATTTCAGACTCAAGAATTGGGAAATATTCAGTTTGTTGGTAAACTCGGGCGGATATCTCACTGTCCCAAATGTATCGAATCAAGCCGGTGTGCAGGACAAAGCATTTACATAGCACCCGATTCAAACCTCTACCAGCACATACCAGCACCATTGCTGAACAAAGCGCAGCTGGAGATGCCATGTGAGCCGTCCCGGCAATCTGGTCTGATCAAACTCATCACGCGGAAAAACAAAATGCCACTTCCTCGTTGTCACAGCAGCAGGATGCAAATGGCAACTTCCAGATCCTTGTCCTCCGTGTCACTTCATTGCTTCTTCTTGAAGCAAATCAGCGCGCAATGTTTATCTTGTGGGACCTAAAGCAAAAGTTGCCCTTTGCTGAACAGACCTTAATCCATCCGGGTCTATTTGTCTTACTTTGCAGCAAATTCGGATGGTACATGATGGTACTATATTTTGTTTGGCACGCGCTGAAACAGGCATCCCATGTTTATTTCCAAATTTTGACGATCGAATCGCCTCATAAAGAGTTCGTTTCAACGAATTGAATCCACTCGTCCCTTGCTTGACCTCGTCAGTTCTTCTTCGGCCTTCCTGCACACCCAGACCGGCACTCGTGCGGGATCAGTAGCAACGGGGCGACCAGTGTCGGGCCGGCGCTCTGGCCATTCGACCCTGGACGAACGGATTTAAGGCGAACGGTCTGGAAAAAATATGCTAAGCAAGAGCAAAATGGTAAATAGTTGGGTGCGAAGCTGCAAAACTACTAGACATTGATAACACACACAAGGACCGTGCTTTTGGTTGAAGATGCTGCAAAACAAGCATGGGAGTGTGGTCAAATGATGTCAAAGCTGATTCTTTTGTACTTGACCATGGCATATTAGTGTGAAGAGGCTGTCACATGCTGTCACATTAGACTGGTGCGATGCCACCTGATTTGTCTGTGTGTTTGTAGTTTTTTGTGTGTTCTTTTTGGCGGTTTTTGTCAAGTGCAACCTAGTGTGCAACCTCTACTCTGCTCTTGGATGCCCCAGGTTCGGGAACCTTGGTGGGCCATGGCTCCAAAATCGCCCAGGTGGAAGACTGAATGCATATGTCGTTGGATATGGTAGGTGTTTGAAGACCGTGTATGAAGATGAAGGAATTTCAGGTGGCATGGTGCAAACGATGATTTGCATACCCATCAGGTAGGTCGACCTCATTGATCCTTCGACCTGTTCTACCGACGCGTCCGAGATCGGTCTGGAGCCCCGGGCCGTCATCTCTGAGATCATTCCTTCACCTGGCCACGAGTGGCGACGAGTGGATGCCACGAGTGGATGGCCGAGCAATCACGGTGCTGGTTCGAACCCTGGTGGGCAGCAGTGTTGCAGCTGCTAGTAGCTGCTGACTTTGAGTCATGGTTCTAATGGAGTAGCTGTGGAACAAGACGAAGTTTAGATCGGCGATGGACCATCCAGCCATATCCAAGCACCGAGGATGAGAGGTGCCAAGTTAGAAGAAATGACTGTTCGTCTCACAAGGACACGGTCCGGAGGACTCGAAGCATGGGCTCCGGTGTATGCATGGGCTCCGGTCCTGAAAATCACCGGGTCGATTTTGAGGGGGCTCAGGATTGTTTCACAAATAGGTTTCTTCCGGCTTGGCAGGCCGTGGCGAAACAAACACGCCTGCCAACGCCTGGTTCACACAGTCCTTCGCTCAGTCCATTCGCTCGTCTGGACCTCCGAGCTCGGGAGAGCTTGCCATTGACCTAGCGTGTAGAGAAACGTCCGTCCGGAGCTAAGTTCGAGGGGTTGTTGGGCGTTTTTTCAAGGCAATTCAATTGGATCATCATTCCAGCATCATGAGCAGGACATGGGAGGAGAAGCTTACCAACATTCATGATCAGGAATGGATCGGAATGAATGAATAGAAATCGGGAAGCTCTCTATTTTGTGGATTCCCAACTCGCACACGACGTGCATAGCCAATAGTTGACACTGGAAATGGACTAAGAATGTCAGAGAAACTCCGAGAGCGACTGCTCTGACGGATATATACAGTAGTTAGATTCAGTTAGATGTCTCAAAGTCCCAAACAAGAGACGCTACTAGGAACAAGGGCATCGCTACTAGCAACAAGGGCCAGGGCCTTACTAGTAGTAACAAGAAGCTGTTAGAAAAAAGTCTAATTCTTGTTTCTAATAGCTTCTTGTTACTACTAGTAAGGCCCTTGTTACTAGTAGCGATGCACTTGTTCCTATAGTAGCTTGTTCCACATAATTATACAGTAGTTAGATGTCTCAAAGTCCCAAACATGTCACAGAACCAAATACAGGAGCATCAGCAGTCCACCGGTGTTGCCATCTGAGCAAAGCACAGCTGCGCAGTGGAGGTCTTCAATCTCGTTCATCTCACAGCCCGTGCCCTCCTCCAAACCCTCCTGCGCGCACTGACTAAAAAAACGCAGCTTGATGGGTCTTGCTCTTGTCGTCATGGAGGTGTCTTACAGGCGACCCAAACCCGTAAAGAATAGCAGCACTTCAGCGATCAAAAATAAGAACTTGAGGCATCTTGAGGCCTCTCAGACTGCAAACAACATCACAAAGTGACTCACTTACTGGGAAGTCCACCCATGGACAGTGCCTGCAAAGCCCAGCCACCTAACGCGCAAAGAAAAAACACAACCCATGTCAACATGATCTGATTGTTGCTACGAATGTATTGCATGAGGGTGTTTTATCAGTTTATCATAAAAGCAAAGAAGGTGAACAAGCACCAAGACTTGCAAGCCTCGTTTAAAAAAGGAAAAGACGGCGCTCGTTTTGGCCAGGTGTTTTCAGATCGAAACCATCTCAGGCCATCCACCCAGTGACACCCACTGCTGGCCCGAAGACCGGCGTCCTCCATATCCTCCGTGCCCCCGCCCACGGATCTCGCAATGGTGACGCACCTAGACCACAAAAAAGTGGAGGCTGTGCAGGAGCCCCGTTCGTAGCGTCCGAACGCTCCGTTCGTAGCGATGCCAGTTTCGCCCCGTTCGTAGCTTCTTGTTACTAGTAAGGCCAGGAGCCACGAACGTAGAAACAAAAAGACCTCATTTTCTGGGCGTTCTGGGTCAGGAACACAGGTGTTGGGGGATGGCGCCTCCCCTGTTGGGCCGACGCAAACATCAAATCTGTTCCACTTCCAGACCCACCGAAGGTGGGAGACGAACCATGAGACTAGTAGCTTCTTGAGAGGCGATGGCCTCCAACTTCCTTGCGATGGCCTCCACCGAGCATAGCGTCCTTGTTACTTGTAGCTTCAATACACCAGACTGTTCCAACTGCAAAACCATCTCTTATTCTGGAAGAAAAGGTTCAGCATCGTAAGCACGAGATTGTGCGGTCGGTCACCAGTGAACTTTGAGAAAAGCACAAATTTGTGGTCTCAGTCCGAGAAAATAGCACGGATTGGGCACCATAATACGTCTAAAAAAATGCGGCCTTGCAGCCTTCAACTGCCCAATCAAAACTCGGGTCGGCCTAGGACCTCCTAGGTCTCCGGGCGTCAAAGTGGGTTGGGAGATCGGCAAATGTGGTCAAGGAGATCATGGCCTGGGCGCACAGGCAACGCGCGGTCTTGGGGCATTGTGCGCGAAAAAAAAAAAAAAAAAGTGGGTTAGCACTTCCTGCTGTTGTCATATGTGGTGGAAGTCGGGAGTCAACTAAAAATGTATGCCAACCGACCTGAACACCGGTTCAATCAACAACATCTCTTAGGCGAGGCTAGCTGTTTACAGGGCGTTCACCCCAAAGTTTTGACGAAAACTGCTTTTGTTGGCCCGAAAATGGCCTTGGGTGTGGGAGTAGTGCCGGGAGTCAACTATTCTGTTCAACAATGTTAACTTCTGGAAGTCTTGGATGAGATGACCCCCATGTAGAGCCTCTAGATGGCATGGACATAGATTATAGGATGATATTATAGACCTCTCGACCTCAAGAACGCCGCGAGGAGTCTTAAACAACCTTCTTCATGTCTTCGGGGGAGAAGAAACCCTCGTGAAATCGATCCTGTTGGGCTCAGGTCTCAGGAGAGATCTGTGTCCCACTACGAACTCTGGCGCCAACGTGTTCTTTTTCGGGTGGAGAAACCGTTCTCAAACTCCGCCTGCCCAGGGCAATCTCTCGTGTTTTCATGATACTCACATGATTGAGAATTGATCAAATTGCCCATCACAACTCTTGGGACGTTCAACTTCCCAAAGACCCTGCAAAAAGGTGAAGACCTCAGAAATTGATGCATCCAGACTTCATGTCCCACGTTCCAGACGTTTCTGCCCGTTCGAAACCCACAGAAACTGGTGTCCAAGCAGTGTCAAAAGAACAGCTTGGGTCTAGAGTCTATACGACTTGGGCCGATAACTCCACCTCCATCGAACGTCGCCACCTCCATCGAGTGGAACGGGTGTCCCGGGCGAAGTTCATGGTGAATCGTTGCTACGGCCAGCACCGGGCCGTGGAGACGGGTCGTTTGGACTCACTGAGCCGAAAACCGCAATGGAGCGGGCGAAAGTGGTCAGAGGTTCCAACGAAAAGTACCTTTAGGAAGACAAGACTCTGGAAATTTGGAGATTAGATGGGCAGCCGATTCCTGGGTGTTTTCAGAAAAGTGGGCCGATTTGTGCAGAATGCAGAATGCGCGTCATGACGCAGTTCCACCAGCCGTCCAGCAAGGATTTTGTAGGCAGTGGCACCAACTAAAAGACGGGGTACTGGGGGCAATGGATGATAATCTCCCTCACGGTTGTCAGGTTAATCTCAAGAGTCCCACCTGGAGGTCCATTTTGGGCGTGATGCCTGTTGGTGAATACAATAGTTGTATGTTGCTGACATGTTTTGGTGGAACGCATTCAATGAGAAGAGTTGGGTGTCTTCATCGGTCATTTTCCGCCAAAACAACCTCAACAGCTGCTTGGATCCCAAGACAAACTGTTTGAAATGGGTGCAAAAAACATCATGTGTATGTATATATATAATATAGATAATATATAGATATAGATATCACTCTAGGAGTCCAAAGACTACATTTGGCCCCACTGAAGCCATTGAAGTTCTTCGGGTCACCCAAAGACCATTTTCAAAACCGTCTTGGACTTTCAGGGTGCCATGTAGTATGCCGGTGGAAACCACCAAAAACTATGTCATTGGACCAATCATCAGGAAAAGGTTTAAATACAAATGATTGAACATGAAAACAAAAAATACATACCCAAACACTCCATGTATGGCATATTTACATACATTGGGGTGGTTTTAGGGGTCAATGTGGGTAAATATTCCATACATGGGACCCGTGGGATAAATAAATCTGCATCGTGTGTTTCACGAGGTTGATTTTCATCTTGTGCACCTGAAAGGAGCGAAACCCTCAGAGTCCGCCCCGTTCCACTCCCCAGCGCTAAACATGTGCAAGCTATACAGGCGGAGAAGGGAAAAATCACCTGTCACATTGCCCAAACAAGCACCATTCGATTTTTGTGCCCAAAGCTGCTTTCTTGTCTCTCTTTTGGCTCTGATGGCAGGCCACCAGGACGTTGATAGGCACCGTGGCACGGCTTGGCCGAGCTAGTCGGTGTTCAGTGTTTAATGTACAGGGCCCAGAGTTTCTGTGCCGCCAAAGACACAACATCAGTTGCTGCAAGTCTTGAAAACAATTGAAAACGGTACCCGGTTTCGCGTACGTAGCTCAGCTAGGTCAGGGTTTTTCATCACAACCAGGAGGAACAAACCAGACCTGGATCCTTCTAGTGAAGTGAAGTCCACCGTGAGTTTTCCTCCTGGTGGGGAACTCAGAATCACGTAGTATGTTCTGGTACCCGGACGGGGCGTAGCGTGTCCTTGCTTAACCCAACTATCCCTGGGGAGTGTCCTGTCAAATGTCCTTTAGACAAACATGTAAGGTGCAAATGTTGAGCTAAAGAGGTGGACGACTAAGCCTAAGCGGATGCCAGCATCTAGATACTAAATCTTACAAACATCTAAGTATATGTCTCATCTCACTTTGCTTAGATGTGTGTTGCTCCTCAAGATGCTTCTTCTTCGGGAGATATTCGGAAGTGATCTCAATGCGGCTTTCATAGTAATTTCATAGGGCCTTCGTCAACCACGACGTCGGCGCCCGCATTTCGCTGCGGAGGCACCAATCCTCGTGGTTCTCTCGCGGCCGCTGCAGAGGCGTTTTGTCCGGCTCGTCCGCCCAAACAGCGATTTCAGCATGAGCGAAACCAAATGCTTCAGGACCGGTGTCTCTTCACAGTACGCAATGTATGCCTGTAGGTCTAAAATAGTTAGGATTCCAAAATCCTTCACGAGGAAACAACAACTCTACATCTTCCCCGTTCTGGGCCTTTGTTTCAACCCTCACAGTGGAAACAGCAACCCCTGGTGGTTGGACCAACCATCGGCCAAAGCCCAACTAGAATCCTAGTGTCCTTTCCACAATGCACAACAGCATGTTGTCCAGTGGGCTTCGAATATCAACTGTCCTTCTACTTGTACCACACGGATGTCGATCATTCCAGGAGGAGAAGAGAAGCATTCGACACATGCAAAAAAACATGTTCCATGGTCTAAGTGGACATCCTACCAAACAAGACTAAACATGGATCGCCGCTGGATCGCCCAAGTCCATGAACATCCAACTTCCCCGGTTGGTGCTTCGTTCCTCTCCCATGGTCCATAATTCTATCAACCAGCAATCACGTCTACAAGACCCAGACCACCTCCCAGGACCGACTACTTGCCCGGATCGAGATCCGCGCTTCTTTAGCCCGGTCGCGCGGGAAACGGATGGAGACGCCCCAAAGAAGTCTGGGAAAGCAGTGGTCCGGCATCCAAAGAAGTGCTGGGTTGGAAGGACATGATCCGAAAATCACGAAAATCTCATCTCATATTCTCATCCCCAAGACCAGGCCATGTCATTGCCCAATATATTGGGAGTTGCCCCCCTCCCTCAGTTGTGGTTGGCGGCATCATCCACCCGCTGTCGACGTGGCAGTACTTTACACAATTCGCAGCCTACGATACAGACGGAGCTGGGCGACTGCGCCGCTGTTCTGCTTGTGGAGTCAGCACGAGGTTGTGCACTCGGCTGTCTTGAATGAAAAACATCAAGTTCACTTGCTTCAGGTATTGTCTTTGGTTGCTGCCTGGGTATCTGTCTTCGTGTTGCCTTGACAAAAAAGCACATGCTTGCTAAAAATGCTTGCTGGTCCCGTAACATGCCAGGCTTCTGGGAGACTTCTTGCTTGTTCAACTCGGAAAACATGCTCCATGTGACCAATTCACAAACCTCCCAACTCCCGCTTTGAGAGAGAAGTGTATGAGGGTAAGTTGGAATGGGAAACTGTGTCTGGGTCTTCTACGGCACGTCTACGACCGATTGCAAGGTTCGTTCCAGCTAATCTTGATTGCAAGGTTCTTCGTATCAACTCCAGCATAGGTGTTTAAAGTGAAGTCTTGGAGTGGAGGTGATGCTTGAGAGATCCTGGCGATCTCTCTGCCCCCTCAAATTTAGATGTCCACAGTCCACATCTTCAGAGTTGCACAGAAGCAAACAGGCCTGGCTATTCCTTCCTGAAAGACTTTTTTTGCAGTGAAGACCCTTGTAATCCTTTGTATATATACATAAATTATAGGAAATCGATCTTCAACTTCAGGGCTTTGAAAATTTCTTGGTGACAAACTCACAGCCCACTTGCATCTTTCACCCTGCTGCTGCCACAAAGCGTCGACCAGCTGCCGCCCAAAGCGTCGAGCCAGGCTAGAAAAACGAGGTCTTGGAGTTGAGGCCCCCGAAGCAACAGCAGTCACCCTTCTTCCGAAGGCGCGAACACTTCTTGACACATTCGGCGGACAACATCCTGCAGTAGAAAGGAAAGCGATAGAACCAAGTTCCACAATCAAAATGTGGCAAATCCAAAAGCAACGAGCCAATACCAGGCTTTTCTTCCCATGGCTCCACTGAACTGTGGCTCTGTCTCAAGATGAGGCAAGTGGCATTCCTCATCTCATCCACAATGACGATCAGAAGGCTGTTTTTGCTTCGCGGATTCGCTTAAGACTGGGTGCCACTCCCCCCAGTGAGGCTCATCAGACCCATCCATGACCCTTAGCCCCTGAGATTCACCGACGATGCTTTGGGGTCTCCGTTCTTTTGAGACAGATCCAACATCACCTTCCGCCTCCGGGTCCAGAATCGGTGCCCGGAACTTTCCCGATAAAAATCACCTACGACTTGCAGGACGTGCGAGCGGGCGGCGAAAGGCCTTAGTTGACCAAGGCCGAGGTTCAGAATGGTGGAGCAATTGAGCGTCGTGGCCCACTGTTAAGAGACGACTCCACATCAACCTCTTAAGACTGAAGGAACCTTCGCACCTTTCTCTATGCGCAACGGTGCTCACCTGTAACTGTAATCATCTCTGTAACCATCTCCTGTTTAGGACAGGTGTTCGATGCTTCGAATATCTTTCGGTCATCACAGTGGTGACTCTCGACCTTGGTCAACAAGCGGATCATCGCAAAGGGCTGCAAAGCCCCCGAATTCCACCCTAAGAGGGTCGACTGTCAGTCGCAAATGCATGTGTTCTCCTAATTAAGTTGTATATGTGTCCTGATCACAGAATCTGTAAAGTCTCTTCCAACCAAGGTGTCCTCAAAAGACTAAAACCTCTCAGGTAATCTTCGATTTACAGCCCCCTTACCGGGGGGAAGGGTGTTCAACAGACCTTGTGTTCGCCACCCAGGCCTGCGCCTCTCAAAAAAGATCGAAAAAGAGTTGACCCCCTGTTCAGCCCTCAACACGCCTGCAGTCTCAATCGAATTGCACGGTGACGGCCGTGATGTTGTCCGCGCGGCCCTTAATAAAAGGCGCTGGTGCGCTGGCGTGCCACCCGACACCAAAGGAGGCTGAATGGTGGGCATGGGAAGTTTGGTGTATTCAGTTGTTTTCATATCTGTGGAGTTGTCCCCCCTGTTCAGCCCAAAGCTACAAGTCTCTGAAGACACGGACCAAGACAAACTCCTGGGAGCCGTTCCTCTTCAGGTTCCAAGTGAAGCCCTTTACATGGGTACTTCACCCCTGTTCACTCAATGACACTGAATTATTCCTCACCTCAATTCTGACTTGACATGTTCGAACCAATATCAATGCTTGGACATGTCATGGCATGAACAATGCGTGGTCATGGTGCCACACCCATATGGCACGTCTGCCAGACCTTCCTTCGACCCGCCAGACCTTTTTCGCCCCCCCCCCCCCACATGGGATTCGCTGCGATCTCCAGTGGTCATGAGCTGCGATCTCCAGACTCGCACTTCTGGGACCCGACCGGATCTCCGTTCCGTCGAACGGCCGGAAAGACGTGACCGAAGTCACCGCCCATACGGCCAAAAGCGTAGCATGTTGGGACGCTTCAAAACGGTTGTATGGACTGTATGGACTAGTGACTGGCCAGAAAACGAATCAGTATCCTACATCGTACCATAGCAACAACATATCGCCACAGTGCAACAAATGCTGCAGTGTTCATCCACACGTGGTCACGTGTTGAAGATTCGTGTGACGTGTATTGGCAAAAATCACTCCGAACCTTCGATGAAACCTCAGATTCAAGTACACATGCGGCGACAAGAACCTGCGACAATTTTCAGAAACCCAAAAACGCACCGCACCCTCAGAATCCTAAAGCACTTGCTCAAGCTGCTTGAGCTCGTGGGTTGTGTTCTTCTGTTAAGCACAATCAAACAACATTTAGATTTGCACCTCCTTTACCGTCGGGATCTCCTGCCCATCTGATCGCCAACGCTGACCAAGTGGACCAAGCGACACCCAAGCGGCCCTGGGGACGGGTTGTTGGGCTGGCGCTGTTGCTGTTGCCTTGTTGGGTTTTATGCCAGTGTGAAACATGTACTCTCCTTCATCTTCAAACAATAGTTCTTGGTGGCTTTCACCAAAAACAAATGTATTTTTCTTGACATGGATGTTAAACAATATGTGTTTTGGGGTTCGTTCCCTTTGTTGTTTGGGCTCGGAGTTGGATTCATGATGTCACCATGTTGTTCGTATAAGGCATCACGAACGAACCGTTCTCCAGTTTCCTATTCGATGCACGGGTCCAAACGGTTCGGTCAGGTGGCACGACGCTTGCGGGCACAGGAAGAACCACTTCCATCAAATGGCGGTTCAGAAACCGGAGCCTCAAACCAGGGTAGGTGGACCTCTCAGCTAGTTCTGTTCCTTCTTGGTGGGACAAAAGAAGGGTGTCCTGGTGCCATGATCCACGGCCAAATGACCCTGAACACTCGGTTCACTGTCTTGACACAGTTCGAAGAGGAAGGAAGAAAAGCTGTTTGTCACAGGCAACCTTCCCTACGGTGTCGCAAAGGTCCGCTTGACAGGCGGACGTGTTTTGTGGTTGGCTGGAGTAATCGCAGTGCTGCGGCACTCTGTTCGTGTTGAATCAAACGCCGGATCCCGCTGGATCAGGACCCCATCTGTACCGGACGTCTTTCCTGTGTCTTTGTTTTCGCGCGTGTGACACGACCTGGACGACTTTAAGATTGAACCAATTCGAACGCGCCATGGATGAGGCAACCTTCCGAAAGATAATCGATGGAGAGATGAGTTGTACAGTGTGATACTTTTCACTGTCAGCTTACTTATACAACTATCATTTTCTAGAGCCAAATATGCAAAAAAAGGAATACGAAAACATGCCACCTTGGCAAAGATACCGAGAGGCACCCACATCTGGGACATCTTCGTGGTGCTTGCGCCTATACGACTGTAGAATCTGGAATGATCTCAATGCTTGGTCAACACTAGTCTCCCCAATACCACTCAGTTAGGTGTCTCAAAAGGTGACAGTGACGACAACTGTTCTTTTCTTTCGGGGATGTATTTGTTGGATGACATGTCAAACAAGCCAGAAACAATTCTTCCCTGACGTTCACTGCAAAAAACAATATACAATAAACAAAGATTCTCCCAGTAAATGCATCCCAAAGAGTCTCTTCGGGTTCTCCGAAACGCTCCTTCCCTAACTACGCCGGCCCCATTGGGCCTGTTCAACTCGCGATGTATGGGAAAACACGTTTTACCACATGTTTTCCCATACATCCGTGGTATTCCACATGATGAAAGATGGGAAACTGTTGCGAGTTGTTCACCTCATCCCTAAAGATCCCCAAAGCCGTACCTGGAGTCCCTGCCTGGGTGTTGAGCGCTGCCTGGACCAAGCACTCCGCCGGGTGCTGCCGATGGGCGATCGCCTCCGGGAGACAAATCGGAAAGGCCAGGAACAGAAAGCAAGACATGGAAAAGTCTGTGGTGCAAGATGAACCTCATGTCACATGTCCTCAAAATAAGTCCATGGTGGTCGGGTTGGGTTTATGTAGGAATTTTTCGGACGTTCACCTCAAAATAGATGGAATCAACAATCCCTTGGAGGGAATATCATGTTTAGCTTCTTGGGGCAGAAGCTCGGAGAATGATAATGGGGCGACGCAAGCGTCCAATCAATGGGGCGACGTGTGAACATCGCTCAGCATCAAGGAAAATAAGCACATGCATTTACAATAGTGGCGCTCTAACTTCTTCAAGGCAAACGGAAAGAACCTCGCTGCACATTATGTAGGTTCTTTCTTTTAGCGTGTCTGGGATGGGGTGTGAAAGACCCAACGTGTTTAACAAATGTGAAAATGAAACATCAACCTCTCTTCCCGACCATTTTCTCAGAAATCTGTCCGGGCTCCACCATTCACGGACCTATTCCTTTTGCATGCAGCGATGTCATGGCGATGTCAGCCCTTCTGGAAAGGAAATTGGAAGACGATTGAACATCTGTGGAGAATAGTCTACCAAGGCCCCCGGGCCATTGGGTGGATGATATGGACACGCCTGAAAACCATCCTGAAACCTCTTTCTCTGGGCACCCTAGTATTCTTGCGCGAAAAAGGTGCGGAGGTGGTACTCCTCCCCGGAGGGGGGACGTGCCTCCTGCAGCTGTCGAGCAGCCTGGCGCATCGACTCAGGTGGTCCATGATGTGAGTCTGAAAACGTCGGTGTTCACCATCACTCTATAAAGAAAGGCCGGCTGTATACCATCCAATTCCTGGAGACGGCTTGTGGACCATGGCACCGGGACACCCTGGGTTGACCACTGAAAATGAACAGAAAAGACTACTCGACCCAGTCGAGTTCGATGCCTCCTCCGTGCACTGGTTCAAGGATAGACTCGGACAGGCTAGATAATTTGGACTATGTTGGACTATGTTGGACGATTCAGTTTGTCAAAATACTCGCGTTCGTTGACCCAATCTAAAACCCGGTGTTTCTTAAGCAAAGACCTCGATTTCTGCCGGTTTTTAAGCTGCCCGGCAGTTGGGAACTAATGGGAACTACACCTCTATGTTTCACCACCAACTCAGGTTCCCATCTTCTCAACAGAGTCTCTCAAGCACTGGCAATGTTTTCTTGCGATAACCCATCGGCCCCAAACCTGCGCCCTTCCATGTCGGCCAACCTGCTCCCTTCGGCCTCTTGAGCGCTCATGACGTCCCACAGGCCATCAGAGGCCAAGACCAAGAAGCGCACATTCTTCACCGCACCGGAGTCCATCCGGATGATCCTGAATGAGCGGCGTCGATTGATTGTACGAACCATCGACTTTGAGCGGAAGGGCGGAGGGGCTACGAGTATCTACCGTAGTCGACTGAGGTCTGGAAGTGGTAAGAACACGATGAAATTCATGTTAATTCTTTCAGTGTTCTCCGGAGTGACAAAGTCATACATGAGTTGAGTTGAACCTTGCGCAAGTCATTTAGGCGCAAAAGCACCAGCTGGCCGACAATCCCATATGTCGCGCATCTCCCATACCAGGCGCGGCACAATGCAATCGCTTGCGTCACGCCCTGATGCTTGCACCCTGTTCACCAGAAAATGGCAAAGCCATCTCAAGTTCTCAAGCCAACTTGGTGGCGTTTACATTGTCCTGTAGGTATCCACCCAATGTGGTGTGGTAGAATCTGGCAGAATGGAAAGGATCCCCGTGCGCACGACCCGGCTGTAATCAGGACTTGGATGAACTCCGGCTGCTTAAACAACCAGCTCCGAGCCGAGCCCCCAGGCTTGACGTCCGGAACACTACTCAGGCCGAAGATCTTCAAGTCCTGCAGAGCGATCTCGGAGAGTTGGCCGAGCAAGGCTTTAACGCGCGAGATGTCATGGTGCTTTAGCAGGTGGGTCCCAGCTCAGAGGTCATGTTCATGTCTGTCTGAAAGATGGGGGTACTGTATACAGATTCTGCTGACCTGCGGACCGCTACGGCACAAAAACCGTTCTCCATGCGGAAAGACGCACCTACAAAGTCGGACACGAAACGGACCCGCCGTTTTAAAACCCATTGGAAAGAGAAACGCACTCCCCGAAACCAGGAAAGGTTCCTGGTCTTAGGGGATTATTTTTCCATATCTTCATTGCCTTCCGGCGTGGGTTGCTGACTGTTCGAAGGGTCTACCCTCCGGCACTGAAATTGAAGTGACTTGGAACTCTTCGACTCTGGTCAGATCAGAAACCCCCTGTCTCAACCCTCGGTCCCTCATATCTCAACGGGTCACGGTCCGTCGCCCACGGTCCGTCGCCCACGGTCGGCCCTCCTTTGCCCCGAAGGCTCGAGAGTATTGCAGCTGCATGGGCTGTTCGCCCAACGCCTCATTCGAGGAATGACGCGTTGTACACGCGACGCGGGCGGGGGGGCGGAATGACCTTCGGCACTCAAAAAGGGTTCAGGTACCGGACATGTGGTGCCAAAGGTCCCAGAAAAAGCCCACCAACATCAGTCCATTCAATATCAGGGGATCTTGGCAATCATCAGGATGGCAATGGCAAATGTAGTTTCTTATTTTTCAGGTGCGCACAAAAACTGGGGTCGACCATAGGCTCTGACGCAGCAGAGCCGCTACGTTGAAAAGGCAAAAAAATCTGGACGGAAACCATGCTCTGTTTCGCTACACGAGTGGACGTTGGGCTCCGAAATGTCAACCTTGCGGCTTTGGGGTCTTCCCTTGTCCAGTCAGGCCACCCAGCCAGTGATTGAGGTCTTTGGGAGCAAGTCTGGAAGAGAAAATGGGAAGCGTGTTCAACCGGAGGAACTCATGTTTCGTACGACCCTCCAAACTTTTACCCGGACTCCCTGCGGCTGCGACTGCGTGTGCTTCCTTTCTCGGTACGCACTTCTTGGTTCAGGAGATGAATTTCTGCCAGCTTTCGCAAACTGACACAGCCAATGGGTTCCTCCCAGTGGGAACACCACTGGAATCCCAGATCTTCGGTGCTTGGCTTGGCTTGGAATTTGGAACACAACGGCTAAGCGGCCGCTAGGCTCTGGCCTGCCTTCGCGGTCGCGCCGACCGCAGGGCCGACCGCAGGGCCAACAGCAGGGCCGACCGCAGGGCCAACAGCAGGGCCGCCAACAGCAGGGCCCGCAGGGCCAACCGCAGGGCCGACCGCAGGGCCAACAGCAGGGCCGACCGCAGGGCCAACAGCAGGGCCCGCAGGGCCAACCGCAGGGCCGACCGCAGGGCCAACAGCAGGGCCGACCGCGGTCGGCGCGGTAGTTGCGCCTTCACTCGGAGGTGTCAAGCCTCTGAGCCCATGGTGGTGGAAGACCGACGTTGGCAAAACGAATGACCCACGTCAAGTGAGAGAATGGTGAAGAGGAATGCAGCACCAAGTGGATGAGAATATATGAGAATCAACATGTGCTGCGTTGGACCAACCAACCAATCAACCAACCTGGAAAAACATGGAAGAGACCTCCTCCAGCTCTTTGTGTCTTGCGAATGTGAGAGATCATACAAAACATTGGTGTTCAGTACAAAGACACCCCTTTCTGTGGGCCATTTCTGAGACATGCCATTTTGTCTAAGCCTAAGCATTTTGTCTAAGATGTCTTATCGAAGTTGATAGGGACTGCTGATGGCGCGACAAAACCGCACACTATCAGGGACTTGCCCAACTTCTTGATACCCTTGTGTTTTGTGCTGTGTTCTCATTTGTCCAGCAACCAATTTATTGGATCCAAATCAGTAAAGAAGAAGCAACAAGGAATCAAATGGACACACCGCGAATCTTCCAGTCCACCGTAAATCCCAATGCAAATCCCAATGCAAACCTTCAAAGCAGCTTTCTAGAGGCTCGGGAGACTTAAAATAGACCGAGTGACTGGGTGAGCGTTCAGTTTTCTCTCTCTGTCACACAAGACATCTGGAACAAATCCAAAGGATTTGGATATGATTGGCACAAGAAAAAGACCCTTTCAGGTGGCACAAGAAAGGTGTCACCAAGGATATGATTGACGCAAGACATGTTTGCAAACACTGACACATGGATCCTTTGGCCCAGCTATCAGGCAGGTCAACCAAAGGAAGGTGTCCGAACTCGCCTGTTATATAAATGGTGGCAGTATGAAAGAATGTGAAACCATCCGTGGTCTATCTCCGGTCTTTCAGAACACCACGTCCACACACAACACCTGTGCAACATCAGTGGGTACAACAAGAATTGCCGAAAGAGAAACGTCTGGTGCGACACGATGCCCCACCCGCCCCCCAAAACACTCGCCTCGCTCACCTCGCGGCGGACGCAAGGCCAACGCACGCTTGAGCATCTGCACCTGATTTCGATTGCGCAGTTTTCAGCATCTTAACGAAGCTCTGACCACATGCTGGTATCTGTAGAAAAGCATGATTTAAAAAATGAAACAGCAAATCGAAACGAGTAAAGAAAACAATTATATGACAACTCTGTCAAGTGTTGGTTTGGTGGAATTGCTTGAGGGTGACCTGATCCCCATTTCTAGCTCATGAAGTTGATCAAAAATACAAAGGGTGATGTGGGGCATGTTTGATCTGGCCGGCCAATGTACGCAATGTAGTTGTCAGCTTTCCATTCGAGCCAAGGACGGTTGACCAACCCCATATACTCAGTGGTAGAGTATTCATTACCCGCTTCTAGGCATCCTTTTGCAATAAAACAAGACAAACCTAAGCAGCATGATTCATGTATATCTAAAGTGTTTCTTGACCCAATCAAACACACCTGCCAAAAAACCGTGGACCCTCCACTCACCGGATCCACCCCCTCACCGGATCCGGTCCACTCCTGAGTCCCCGCGCACGGCCCGGGTGAAGACCGCCCCAGGCGCCGGCGAGCACCTCGCCCACGGGGGCCCAGTGGGCCTGGACCACCGGATCCTGCGGTAGACGCGGTCGACCGGTCGGAGGAGCGGATGGGGCGAATCGGATGGGCTAGCAACTGAAGATGATGTGGTAGGGGACCGTTCTGTTTCCTTCTCCCTGTTGAAAAGGTGGATGACTTGGTCATTGTGGATCAATAGGTCTTGAACCATCCTCATGTTGGGTGATCAAACACATAAAATGTTCATGTTCTGTGGGAAACAAGTCTGAACTCAACATAGAACCTGAAACAGAATGATTTCTTCGCGGTTCATGAGTGACCTCACCCTTCTCGTTGGACCAGTCTGACCTTCTTTTCACACCGTCCCACGGACGCTCGTGCCTTGTCCGTGGGATCTTCATGGCGTGGTGTCCACGACGCGGCATTGAAATCCAGGTCACCGTCCTTTGCCACCACCTGCAGGACGCGCTCAGCGGCGCGCCAGGCGCCAGAGCGAAGTGGATGTGGGTGGCTCAACCAGGTGGAGGTGGACCAGCGAGGTGGGAAGCATCGAGAAACTCAGGACATAAAGACAAAAGACTGACCCAGTGGCACGGCAGTCTCAACTTGACGTTCAGGGGGCCATCACGAGTCCAAGGCAAACCAAGTGGCGAACAAAACCAACACATGAGGCCCTCGAAGCTGCTTCGTCAGGAATCTTCGGGAACAAATCCTAAGGATTCCCAACCTAGGACCTAGGAGTGTCTCTATTTCGTGTTTTCAAGCCTCATTCCATCAATCCCTACCGACTCGTCGCCCCTCTAGTCTTACTTGCAGAAGGAACCAGGGAAGTCCGACTTCGGACAGACCTCCGGACTGCCGATGCTCGAGTGACAGTGACGTGACTCCTTTGCCATGCTGAAGTCTTCTCCCGCAAGAGTGTTCATCACTGCCTTCGAAAAAACGCTAAGAAAGTATGAGGTACAGTGGTTTGTCGAACTGCGTACAGACTTGTACAACATGGGTGGAGAGACTCTTCTTCGTGCAGCTCACAATGTCACATGGAACCTTCCTCGACTAATTCAGGTCTTTCTGCACGTACCAAAAGCACCGACCCAAATTCCCCCCAACCCAAAAGCACCTGGTGTTCATCGATCCGCTGTCACCTCTTCGCATGTTCTGAATTTTGGTCCAAGGTCTTTGCACGGGGATGCTGGCTGTTGTTCCAAAACTGGGCCAAAAGGCCATATTTTTGATCGGACGCCTTGCAGTGAAGCTCCCTCCCATTCTTTCTCTCCATCTCCCTCCCATTCGCTGGACCGCCTCGGCCAGTAGGTAGCGGCATCCGAACTTCTCTTCATCTAGGTGGAGTCCTCGCAGCGGGAGTCCACCCAGGCTTCTCATCTCTGCATGGTCCTGTCAGTAATTCCCCCTTCCTTACCCTGCAAATGGACCTTATAACGATGCTTCCAATGTCCAGACCCGACTACCAGCTGTTTGGTAGCTTCATGCTATGCTTTTCCTCTTCAGGGTGCAAGTACAGGCAGCCTTTTGTGGATGTTCAATAGCTTCCTATTCAGGCAAGGCATGGCAGAAAAATGCTGCACACCATGCCAAGTCACATTACAAATCATAAATCATCATATATAAATGTATCCAAATTATCCAATCATATATCTATAACTGGTGCTGCTTGCAAAACTCATTCAGAACACGTCGTCCTTTCCGCTTGGGTGTTCGTCCGCCCGGCCCACCAGGACCTTCGTGAAGCATCACGCGATCTCTCTGAATGCTGGTCTCTTCTAAAAGCCTCGGAGACCAGCAAATGGTGAGTCTCATCCATCAGCATAGACTAAGATCGCACAAAACTTCGGGCTCAGATCTGTTTGACTCAGCAGGCCTCATTGGAAACCCTATCTAAGATGATCAACATGTGGCTTTATGCACTCGATCTTGACGATGGCTCTTGATATGGGTGGAGACATTGGACACAGGTCGTGGTGATCCACCATCTGACCATAAACATCCAAAAACCAACCTGCCCCAGCTCTGCGGACGTTCGAACCAAACCTGCCCGAACCGACGGCGCTTTCCCCCCGCGTTCGATCGGTTGGAACTTCATCGGATCGAACTGTTCATCGTCTGCGAAGGATCCGATTCTTGGTCGTTCGTAGACAACGCATAGATAGAAACATCTATTTGCATGCAATAAAACTGCCTGCCAGACAACGCCCGCCCGCATGTGTTTTTCAGTGGATCCATCAACATCTACAATTCGGGTGTCACTACAGAAAATCTATGAAAATCTTGGGTTGACCTTCACAATCCATTTCACTCGCATTTTGTCGCCTTTTGGCTCCTCAAACCTCTTCAAACCTCTCCAAGCTGGCTGTGTCTGCAAAACGTCCCGCCACGGCCCTTGCCGCTGGAGGACTCGCGGTAGGCACAGTCCAAGACGTTTCTGTCGCTGCGCTTCCTTGTCGGGTGAGTGAGCCAACTCATCGAGTGCGCCGTTGGCGGACGTGGCAGCGCTTTCATCTTGGGGAGGTTGAGTACATTAGTCAAAGTAGCTCGAGGTTTACTGGGTAGATTGGTGTTCAGTGTGTTGCTTGTACAAACATATCTGTTTTTTTGAAGGTGTAAGGTGGTTTGGGAGTTGAACAGATCCCTGCCCACCAAGAAACCTTCGTGGTCGGCGGAGGGCCCCCACCCCCTAGTGCAAAGCGAGGCACTTTCCTCCTTTGGGAAAGCTCAGCTTCCCGTTCCGCGACTGTACCAAGCAAACGCGGTCCTGACAGAGGTCTGCGGAGAGGTCCTGTGTGTTGCAGTGGATTCTTTGTTCTCACCCATCGGCATCCAAGATCCAAAAGACTACGGTACTACAGGACGTACACTATGACCAGAGACTAAGATACCCGAACCGGTGTACCACTCCCTGGAAAAAAGGCTTGGACTTCATATGATTTCATCAATCCAAAACCTGGAAGATGTATGAAGATGCATCTGAATGATGAACACGTCAACTTTTGGGCGAAGTCCCTCAAACAAAGAGTTCACCCCTACCTCCAGAGCCTCCGGGACTTCAGACTCAGACCCCTCTGGGCCCCCCTCCTCCCGGAAGGCGATGATGCCAGCACCCCGTGGGACGCCCACATAGGGTCCATGGGCGATCGGGGGGGCCTGTCACACGGACGATCAGTCGGCTCTGGAGCAGATCCCCCGATCGCTCGGGCGGCCGATGGCGACTGGTCAAGGACTCGAGCGGCTGTTCTTCAGTCAGAGAAAAGTCAGAGAAAAAAAAACAAATCTGATTTGGGGGGCGTTTCTCGTTTGTTTCTTCAGAGAAGATCTGATTCCGCGCAAAACCCCCCAAATCTCAAACGCTGGCTGAGCGCTTCTTCTGACGGCGGCTTCGATGGGCCTTACCTCTCTGTCTGCACCGGTTGTGTGCTCACGTGTAAGGACATACAACCGCCCAGCCTCAGGCCAATTGCTATTGGCAGTTTCTCTCGTCACCTGGCACGCGGATCACGGAGCAAGCTCCCCTCGTTTCATGCGCAACTAGCCCAAGAACCCATCAGAAGGGAACCCGCATCAGGATTTGGGAGCCGTATCCATGATATAGTCATGAACCTCCAAGGGGTGTCTATTTATAGCCACTTAGCTGTGATTCGGGGTGTCCATGAATCACCCAACTCCTGGGGTTCCTGCGACATCAAGTTCAGGAGACCATGTCTGTTCTCGCCAGCGGAGACCAGCGTGACCAAAGTTCCCCGTAGGGTCAGCTCTCGCCTGTGGTGCTCGGAGGTCACGACCTGGTGGAGAAGCTGAAGCAAACTGAGCCAGGACGCTACGAACGTCAGTAGCTTCTGGCCTTACTACTAGTGTATATAACAAGAAGCTATGCACGGTGGAGGCCGCTATTAGGTTGGAGGCCATCGCTACTAGTAATAAGAAGCTACTAGTAGCAGACATTCCTTGAACATCCTCATGGTTGTGTGGATGGCACCCCTTGGACGATCAGTTTCCTTTACAATGGGTGGTGAACTCCACTTCCATGATGATCCCAAGGAGTGTAGAGGTCTTTTTCGTCAGAAAATAGAGAAACACACATGACCAACTACTCGACGGCAAAGAACTAAGACCTCTGTAGTCCCACATCGGTGGTCCCTCCACCATTCACGCAAGCTCACAACACCCACAGTTCGTTTCGTAACGACCCTCTCAGCTTGGGACTGGGATAGGGATGCCTTCCTTCATTCCTCGCCACGCAGCATGTGGCGCGGATCGGCCATCCAGGATGACGCATGCGACATCTTTGCAAGGAGGAATAGACAAGGCCTGCATTGTCTTGGGTGAGAGCAAGTCGCCCTTGACCTTTGTTCCAGGAAGAAAAAATGTTGATGGTATCTCACAAGAGACGACCCCAGCCAGACCCAGTCAAACCCAGCCAGACCCTCAGTAATGCAGGCACTGCTTGGGGTCGCCTCTTCAAATTAGAGCCAAATCAACAAGTGCCCAAGAAGTCCACAGCTTGACCAAGTCACGAAGCCTCGGAGAGACCTTGGGCTGAGACCTTGGGCTACCCTGCAACACCGATCAAGAAGGTTGACCCCAAAGTCTTCATCACGTTCTTTACAAGGATCGATCCTCCTGAGACGTTGAGAATTCTCCAACAAGAAACGACGAACACCACCCCAATTACAAGAGGAAGAACTGTGTTGGCCGACCACATGAATGACTTGAACCGATCCACCATGCTTTGGTGGCCCCTGTGATTTTGGTGACTCAAGAGTTTCACCATGTCACCATGGCTCTTGCTTTGAGAACTCTGAAAACCTGGTTGGGGTGATGTCTTTCTCATTGAGGGATCCAAAAGAAAGGCCTTTGAGACATCCCTTCCTGGAGGAGCCCAAAGTTGGATGGATGAGTTCCGACAGCTCTTGAGGACCTCGAAAAGCACTCATTATCAATTCCATGAGGTTCCATTTCTCGATGAGCTTCCAGCTTCGAAGTCTGTTTCGCTGGATGGATCGAACACTTCTGTGCCCAAACATCCTGACCATCCAGAAAGTGTCTTCGCCCTCTCGTCCAGGCACCCGCACTGAGTCGTCCCCAGGTTCAGCTCCGGGACACGATGAGGACCGTAGCCATTGGGCCCTGGGCAGGACAGACCGCATGTCCACTGCAAATGCCTGAAAACCATGAAAAGCATTGACAAACCCAGTTTTTGCCTGCTCACCTGGACCAAAGCTGGTTCCACGGAATGTGTGTGGTCCGCACCATATTTGCACAAGTGATGCCCAGGATGGCCCAAGGATCACCTGCTTCGTTCACCTCTCAAAGCCCTCCAAGTGACCACCCTTTGAGTATCCCCAACTGGTTTCGTCACGAACAGCTTCATGAAAGATCTGGAAGTCCGGGTTTCATGGAGTTGGGTGCTGAAAACACCCGCCATGTAGTCAGACATGTAGAAAGACTTCACCCTGTAGAAAGACTTCACCTTGGACCGTCACCTTGACATGAAACTGCTAGCTGATTTCCTGATGCTTTGGGAACCCAGGTCTCCTTCGATCCACCGAAGCAACTAGCTCACCACCCAGCGCCCCAGCGCCCCAGCGCCCCAGCGCGTCGCGCGGACGTCCACGGTGCCTAGCACCGGTGGAGGGATGACGCGGGGCTGTGTGACACGGCCTTTGGGGTGAGGGGGGTGAGTGGGAGCGGTTCGCAAGCTGGCCTCAACTAGCTCACAAGCATGCGAAACATGGATTCACTTGGCTATATATATATATATAGTTGTTCTTTCATTGTCCACCTTCCCATTCTAGTGGCCATGGCACAAGAATGGCAGGAAACAACCGGAAGGGAAAACCAAATCAGGTTGTTCACAGGGTCAAGAACACATCGAAAAGGACTCACCTGGTGCGGACTGACCTGGGAAGAAAGGGACTCACCTGGTCCAGTGCAGCGACACACTTTCGGTACCCAAGTCCGGCTTGGAAGTCTCCAGAGAGTGCAGCGACACTCAAGACATCATCTTGCTACGTTTCAGCGACACACTGCCTTCCATGCCTAGCTTTTTTGGCCCAACATGAACACATCGAATCGGAGGATACAACATACAGTATCCTTGATGAAAAGGAAGAGTTTGGCATCACTCATGAACGGGTCACTTGCCAAGCTGAAATATAATCGAAGACCTCTAGAGGTGCTGGCCCCCTTTTTTCGGATGACCAAGTTCCAAATACCAACCAGGTGGCTTTCACTTCACTTCCACGGATTCGTTCAAGGTTAATCCACTTTTCCTGGGTACATTGTCCAAAATCTGGCCTGGCAGCTGGGGGCGAATGGAGGAGTGAAACAACCATCAACCTCCAGCAGGTTTTGTGCCATCCTGGGCTCCTGGCCTACAGGAAGCGGTCCAGACATGGCCACTTGGACGAACAGATCGAAGTGTTTTACAGTGAAATAGTGCCTTCTGACAAGGCACTAGACTTTGGTCTATACAGCTGCACCTATTGTTTTGTCGGGTCTGCGCAGTTCAGGGCAGGGCAGAGAGTATGTCTTGTGACTTTGGAGAAGCCGTCCAGCTAAGCGTCTATGAGTGTCTAAGAGTCACCAAGGTGCATTGGGAGCTCCAGCTGCCCAGCTTCAAGGAATATAGCTGAAGAAGAGGCCCATTCAACTTGCATAGATCTACTTGGGAGGTTGTTTAAGAGCAAAGTTCCCCATGACTGAGCAGCGCCAGATCATCTTTGCACATGAATGAGGATCGAGGCTTGCAATTCATCTTTGACAGGTCATACTGCGCCCAAGAGAACCAAAGAGGACCAGCGGAGCAGCGCAAGGCATTGGCGTTTCATGTCAATGTGGAACTGCAAGTGGCATGAAATTCAAATCAACTGACTTGTAAGTCATCCAAAAGGTCTAAGAACCCATCGCATTCCCCCGCCGAACAGTTCGGGCTCTTTGGGATGTGTCTCATCTGCCACCTTCGAGTCTACTAGAGGTGAGGTCCTTTGGCCTCACAAGGCCGGCCAGAATCAAGGCCCAAAACAAAAACCCGTCACCGCAGGTATTCCAAAACCAAAACAAACCCAGAAAGTCATGGGTTCAGACATGGGGTCAAACCTCACAAGTCCCCAAATCCGTCCAAATTGCCCGAAGAGCGTCCAATTCCGGCCACACACCCGCACTCGCCTTGCGCATTATGAAGTCACCCCCGCGGATGAAGGGTTTGTTCCCATGGTTCTGCCTGAAGTGCCACAGAATCGCTACTAGGGGCTCCTGGCCTTACTACTAGTAGCAAGGACGCTACTAG